ATGAATAAACACAGCTTTACTCTTGGCTCAGTTTTTTTTTAAAAAAATGAGCATGACACTTTAGTTCTTAATTGCCAAGAAACTCAAAATGTTTTACTAGTAGTCCTTGACTTGGTACCACAAAGTGGGACCAGAATTTCTGTCGCTAAGCAAGGCAATTGTGACTGTAATGCAAGGACTACCTGAAGTTATATAACTGCTGTAAAGATGATTGGAAAGCATTTCTTTTTTTAAAAAAAATTCTCTTTGCTATTTTTCTGCTACTCCTTCTCTTTTAGTTCATTTTTTTCTTTTTCTTTTTTTACCCTCTCTGAGTTCGCCCTCTTCTTATATTTAAAAATTTCAATAACATTATCTGAAAGAAAGGAAGAAAGAAAGAAAGAAAGGAAGGAAGAAAGGAACGAAGAAAGAAAGAAAGAAAGAAAGAAAGAAAGAAAGAAAGAAAGAAAGAAAGGAAGAAAGAAAGGAAGAAAGAAAGAAAATCTTTGTGTGTGTCTCTGGTTAAACCCAACATGTGGACTCCCTCTAGGATAATTATTGCAAATTAATTCTTCTCTTTGGAGTTACAGATGTTGTGTTTGGTTTTTTTTGCAAAGCGGGCGGCTGATAAAATCTTTCTGAATCAGACCCCCCCCCCTCTCCAAAGCTTGGTGTGAGGTGCGCAGCTGCATCCCGGATGTTTTGAAAACATTGTGCTTTCTGCAGAGGGAGATCGCTGCACACACATAGAGACACACAGAGAGACACAAAACACCCAAGCACACACACACACACACACACACACACTTAGGGGAAGGGGCCAGGGGATCACTGCAGGGAAGCGGTTGATGATGAGCGAGCCTAATTCAGGGACCCCGGGGGAGTCACAAGCGAGGGAACTAGACAAGAGATGTTTTTTGTTGTTTTCCAGTGGGACCTTCTTCACTAAGGGAGAATTAGTGTGACACATACACACACACATACACACCCTGCACCCTCCTGGGAATAAACCCAGTTCTATTTTCTCCAAGTCACCTGCCCAACTGGAAGGATGTGTTGATCCATCAGGTTGGCGAGCATCGTATCTGCCCAATGGAAAACCCCAGGTGAAGAACGAAATTGGAGGTTTGTAAATTTGGGGAAAGATGGAGAAAGGGGATTTTTAGACCTGGGTTTATCAAATTCCCACCAGGCCAAAGGTGAGAGACAACGATGGCTGCCTTCAAGCTGGCCCGAAAAATATCACCATGCGTTTTTGAAAGGGGAACCTGCCAAAATTATTTTCAGTGGCATCGTAACTTTGAACGGTCGCGAAAAGCAACCGTAGTAAGTCGAGGACTGTATTTTGAAGGGTGTTGTGTTCAAAAAGGAAGATACCGTTTGGGCTTTTTGACTTTTTGGACCTTATACCTGTTTGCAGGCCCTGAGGGTCAGCGCAAAGAATGATGGGGAATGTAGTCCAATCCCCTAGAAAAAGGTAGGTTGGTCTGCAGTCTGTCAAGTCAGCTCCAACAGTTGTCTGGTTTTGTTGTTTTTAAATAAAGGGATTTAAATAAGGATGTTTCAAGTCTGCCAGGCGTGAAGGTTTAAAGGCTGGCAGGTAAAAGATGGCTCAGCTGATTTTCAATTCTATTAACAATAGTCAACTACCTTCCATTGAAAACACAAGCACACAAACACGCACACCTGTTGGAGCTTAGGCAAACAGATTTCAGCGGCCCCTCTGGATTTTTTCCGCCCCAAAGGTGAAAGTAAACAAGATCCCTGTGTGGATTTAGCAGAGAGGGGAAAAAAACCAAACCAAACCAGAAACAAACACAATTGACAGCTCTTAACCTCCAGGTCTTTTCCCGATAAACCTAAAAGCAATATAGGCAGACAGTCCTCCACTTACAACCGTTCGTTTAGTGACCATTTGAAATTACAAAGCCATTGAAAAAAAGGAGCTTGGGATCTGTCTTCACACTTATGACCGTTTCAGCACCCCTGTGGTCCCATGATCAAAATTCAAAGGCTTGCCAACTGACATGTACTTAGGACGGTTGCAGTGTCCCTAGCTCATGTGATCTCTTTTTGCAACCTTCGGACAAGCAAAGTCACTGAGGGAAGGTGGATTCGCTTAACAACCGTGTTAGTAACTGAACCACAGGGGTTCACTTAACAATGGTTGTAAAATGGGGACAAAACTCACTTAACAAAAGCCTCACTTGGCAAAGAAAAGTTTTGGGCTTAGTTGTGGCCGTGTGTCAAGGGCTGCCTGTATTTCCCCACCCGACAAACGCTGTTCATTGGAGCCTCAGAACAACAGCCCTGCGAGGTAGTCAAAGCGTACAAAAAAGACAATAACAACTGGCCCAGGGTCACTCGAGGAAACCTCATGGAGACGGGCTTCGAACTGATTTCTTTAACACAACACACACAATGGTTGACTTGCAACCATTCGCTTAGTGTCCGTTCGAAGTTATGACGACACTGGAAAAAAAAGTGACTTTTGACCAATTTTCACACGACGATTGCAGCCTCCCCCAGGGTCACGTGATCAAAATTCAGAGGCTCAGCAGCTGATTCATATTTATGACGGTCGCAGCATCTCCGGGGTCCTGTGGTTCCTCCCGTTTTGCCACGTTCTGACAAGCAAAGTCAACGGAGGAAGCCCGATTCGCTTAGCGACCGTGCTACTAACTTAACTGCAGTGATTCACTTAACAACCGAGGCAAGAAAAGTCGTAAAGTGGGGCAACGCTCACAATGACTGCCTTGCTTAGCAGAGGAAATTTGGGGCTGAATTGTGTTTGCGGGTCGAGGACTATTCTACTGCTAAGCTCTGCAGATATGGGTACACCTTTTACCGCTTCATTTCCATCCCTAAATCTTCTCTAGGTCTGTATTTTTTTCAGACTGAGAAGCCGCAGAGCCGAGACAGGGCCAAAGAGGCGCTATGAAACAGTGGTTCCTGTTGCTTTCATCCAGGTGCAACTCCAGCCGTTCACTCCCTGCCCTCATGAGATCTAGAAGCTTGTTCTCAAGTGATTTATTTTCCACTCCAGAGCTACACCCCACTGTCTATTGCAGCAAAGCAGAAGAGAAATAGAAAATAGAAAAAAATAGAATGGAATGGAATGGAATAGAATAGAATAGAATAGAATAGAATAGAATAGAATAGAATAGAATAGAATAGAATAGAATAGTTGGAAGGGACCTTGGAGGTCTTCTAGTCCAACCCCCTGTTCAGGCAGGAAACTCTGTATCATTTCAGACAAAGGATTCTAGAGGCTATCAGACTGAGGTTCTTAGGTTTCCCTAAGACTTCCCCCCTCTATGCACAAATCTATCAGGGCACCCCCAAATCGGAGGACGAAGGCTTGGCTTCTCATCCTCAGGAGCTCAGGCTGCCATCAGGGTCCAGGCTAAGAGGCATTGTTTTGTTTGGAAAAACCAATCTGTTTTTCTTTTTAAAAACCCTCTGAGGGCCACATCTTTGGCAACGCAGCTCCACACAGGAGGAACTGCGTTAAACTGCAGAGAGGGGATCCTATTGATGTCAATTAGTCACCCCGTTGCTTTCCATGGGTGTAGGATGGCATAACTGGCTATCAGCCTGCAATGCTCCATCATGGTGGTGGTGGTGCAAAGAAGATGGGTGGGATGGGGGGGGGTCTTCTCAGACACTGTTTTAATCCAATCCTACCCCTCTTCTTTGCACCACCACGAGTGTTGAGTGTATTGAGCGTTTATTAACTCGGTGAACCTAGATTATTGAGATTATTGAGTGCTGAGTATATTGAGTGTTTATGAACTCAATAAACCCGGATTATTTTTTTCTCTCTCTTTATAATTATGCTCATACGGCGAAACACCGAAGCATCCGGGAGGCGACTGCATTTTCTGCTCACCCCTTAAACGTCCAAATTATCTACTGGGCGTAAATCTCATATTTTCAGTCTTAAAGGTTTTTGTTGCTACTGCTAGTAGCTTTGTTATGATCACACCGCCCTTCTAGCCATTGCGAGCAGCACTCTTCTGCAAGGACCACAGTCTGGTGTCAACTTAAAAGATGGAGATTTGCATGAAAAAAAAACACACATCTCAGGACTCAACAGCCCAATGTCTTCCCAGGCCATTAAGAAACTTAATTTCGTTGTGAGTTACACAATGACAATAAAACTATTCTATTCTATTCTATTCTATTCTATTCTATTCTATTCTATTCTATTCTAGACAATAAAACTATTCTATTCTATTCTATTCTTGACAATAAAACTATTCTATTCTATTCTATTCTATTCTAGACAATAAAACTATTCTATTCTATTCTATTCTAGACAATAAAACTATTCTATTCTATTCTATTCTAGACAATAAAACTATTCTATTCTATTCTATTCTTGACAATAAAACTATTCTATTCTATTCTATTCTATTCTATTCTAGACAATAAAACTATTCTATTCTATTCTATTCTTGACAATAAAACTATTCTATTCTATTCTATTCTATTCTATTCTATTCTATTCTATTCTATTCTATTCTATTCTATTCTATTCCCTGTGCCCAAATCTTTGCCCTGGCTCCTACGTTGTTCAGAACTGTGGAGTAAACAGCCTTTCTAAAATCAACCCCTGCAAACTACAATAGATGGTTTAAATCACTCAGCCTCTGTCTGAATCTTGCTGACTGTCTGGAACTCCCCAGAATTTTAGCCAAGGGGAGAAGCAGCTGGAGAGGATCTTTGCTGTCACCGAAGGGCCCAAATTGGAGAAACGTGATTCAAAGGCTCTTCTTCCTACGTCCCATTCCCTGCAGGTGGAAAACTAGCATGACAGGGATGCTTCCCAGACAGAAATCTAGTAAGTCAGGCTTGTTTTCTCCATCTGTCCTGTTTTTCAGCCCGAAGGGTTCCCCCTCTCTCCCTCTCCTCTCCATCGACTAAACCCCGTATGTACATAATTTCAATTATGATAAAGGGAAGGTTTTTCCTCAATTCCATGCAACATTGACCATGACGGGGATGGTGAGGCTTACCTGTATCCTGCCGGAATTGATGCATGGATTGTAAATCTATAATGTACGGAGACAGCTGGGCATCCACCTGCCCAAGCACCACACTGCCCCGAGCGTCTTCTTTCAGGACGTTCTCAACGTGGTGACAGACAGCTGCCGTGTAGGGCCTCCACCGGCTGTACTCGTTCAGCCATTCCCATACCACGACCCGGGCCACGTTACTGGGAGGGAAGCCCAACCCGTTGGCAAAGAGCAGCGCTCCTGGAGCAGGCCGTGCCATGATGCCAGCTTCTGTGGGCCAGGCATGGGCGGCTGGCAGGCTTCTCACCACTTTGGGCTACCCCAGGGCGGGTCAGGAGTAGCACCCCATTTCCCAGGGATGTGGAAGGGCTCTTCTCTCCTAGTGCCCAAACTTGCAGCTCCGGCCTTTGGCGATACAGCACTGTGTGAAGCGAGGAAGCAAGCAGAAAATTGGGGAAGGAAGGCCAAGATGCCCTGGGTAGAGAACCAGGTCCGGTCAGTTTCAGGCAGAAAGGATGAACTGAGTTTTTCAGGTCCGGTCAGTTTCAAGCAGAAAGGATGAATTGAGTTTTTCAGGTCCGGTCAGTTTCAAGCAGAAAGGATGAATTGAATGGAGCAGAACACAGAAATCCCGAAGTCCATCATTCCAGAAAGGCAGTTGGAGCAAGGAGGCTCAGGACACCGCAAAACAGGTGCCTGGATCTTCTGCAGCATCTTTTTTTGGGGGGGGGGGAGGGAGTAGGGCGGGCAGCAGCGACTTCTCTCCTCCTTTCCTTCTGCTGAGAAATAGCCAGAGCGCTTCTTCCCCCCAGGTGTTAACCCTGGTTCTCGGCGGCAATCTTCTTGCCCCAACTCCCCAGCTCTGCTTTGAGGGACCCCCCCCCCCAGCTCGGGGGACCCCCGAGGCCTCGCGGAATAAGCCCCCCCCCCGCCCGGGATCTCGGAGGGGGAGATCCGTCTCCTGCCAGGCGCTCAGCTTCGGTCCGGAGGGGCAGAGTTGGTGGGTGGGTGAGTGGTTGGGTGGGGAGGGTCTCCTCCTCCTCCTCGGTCCCGGTCAGAGGAGCACGGGAGGAGCCCCCCCGGCGGGAGATCCGGCGCCTCCGCGGACCCCCATCCTTCCCGGCCGCGCAGCTGCTGCCACCGGCGAGACGGTGTCACCCTCCTTTGGCGCAAACCGGTTCCCGAACCTGGTTTGGCTCCCGACGTGGAGGCGGGGAGGAGCTGGAGGACAAGCCTAGGAAGGGAGGGGAGGGGAGGGGGGGGAACGAAAACCGAATGAGGAGGGATCCAAATCGGAGCGTCTCCGGATTCAGCCGCGCTGAGCGCTGCTGCGATCTCCCTCCGTCTCTTCCTTCTCTCCTTCTCCCTTTCTCTCTCTCCCTTTCCCCCTCTCTTTCCTTTTCCCTCTTCCTCTCCCCCGCTTTCTCCCCCCTCCCTTTTACTCTCCCTCCCTCTCCTCCTCTCCCTCTCTCTTTCTCCCCACTAACCCACCCGCCCCCTCTCCATCGCCCTACCCTCCCTCTCTCTTGGAGGTTCACAATCTTCGGCTGGAATGAAAAGATCCTCCTCCCTCCCTCCCTCGCCCCCCCCCCAGCTGCCTCCTACCTGGCCGCTGGAGGTCCAAGCGCCAGACACAAAAGAGGGAGGGGGGGGCGAGACGGAGACGGGCAGGCAACAAGAGGGCCCCGTCCGGATGGATGGATGGATGGATGGATGGCAGGCGGGACCCCCCCCCCTCCTCCGGCTGGGCTGGCTCTGCTCGCAGCTCTCCTGCCCTCTCGGCCCCCCCCCCAAAAGGCGCCGGCTGACCCTCACCCACCCCTCCCCTCTTCCCCAACCCTGGCTGCACACGTCAGAACGCCTCGGAGGCTGAGAGCCAGGGTGCCCGGGGCAGGGAGGGAAGGAGGGAGGGAGGGGGCGACGCCTCCCGGCCGCTAAGACAGAAGCCGGAGGGTCGCACTCCTCCTGCAGCGCCCCCCACCCCGCCTCCCCGCTTGCATCTGTCCCCCAGGGGTCTGGACCCCTCCCCGCCCTAGCGCGCACTGCCCCTGAGCAGGAATGGCGCAGGCTAAATGCTGGCGGGGGCGGGGAGGGGGGGGGACCGAGGGAGGGAGGGGAGGAGGGGAGGGGGGAATCCCTGGCCCCTCCTCTGGAGGCGGCTAGAAACCGCAGAGAATCAGCCGCCTGTCCTTTCTCCTCCCCCTTTCCCTCTCTCCTTCTCCACCCCCCCCCACCCCAGTTCCCGGCCACCACGTCCCCCGCATGGATAAATGGTGCCAGCTTGTCACCCTGCCCGCTTCCCTGCCAATCGAGCGTGGGGCTGCTGGCCCCCTGAGCATACACAGAAGCCCCCCCCCCCGCAAAGAAGCCGATCCATCAGCCTCCGAACAGGATGGGATAAAAGGGGATCTGCTGTAACACCAGTCACCAAGGCTGGAGAGCTGCCGGTCCCTCCTGTTCCTTCAGACCAACACCTAGGCTCAGCCAGGGAAGCTACCTTTAGCTTCAAGCTGGAGCCCGGGAGGGTTCATCCCATGGACAGGGTCCCAGCAAAGCAGGGGTTAACCCAGCAGACCCCCCCCCCTCTCCTCTCCAGAGTGCTTTAGTGGGGCCTGATAGCTGGAGCAAGGAACCTGTGGCCCTCCAGATGTTGCAAGTCCAGAGAGACTGCACAACCGTGAGGCATGCTGGGAGATGTAGTACCAGGACACCTGGCACCCCCCCCCCCAGGTCCCCTGGGGAACCAAGAACTGATTTACCTGAAAGAGAGTCCCACTGATGCTGTTCCCTAGTTGGGTAATGAAACGTCTGCAAGAAAAGAAAAAAAAAACAAGCTCAGAGAGCACCAAGGATCCCATAGTCCTCCTCCTCCTCCTCCTCCTCCAACCCCAGCCCACTGATGATGTTCCCTAGCTGGGCAATGAAACGTCTGCAAGAAAAAAAATCCAGGCCACCTATTTCCTGACCAAGAAAACCACACAGCCATCCTGGACATGTGGTGGTGGTGGTCATGTTGCCTCCCATATTATGGGGATAGTCCTTGATTAATCCAGAAGGCCCACCATCGTCCAGGCCCATAGCCCAGATATGTTAAAAGCACAGACACACACACCACAAAAAACCTCAAGCCAAGGGCTTGAATTTTAGAAATAACAATTGGGCTAAAGTAGAAAGCTTTGGTCAAGAGAAGCTGATGGATGCTTCTCCAAAACAGTTTTGATTGATGCAATTGGTTTACCTCAATTGCACAATTTTGCAGCAAATGAGACGGGTGTCTTTGCAACCGTTAGTCTGCTTTCCCACCACCTCGCCTGTATTTTTATTTTCTATTTAGCACAAGAGTGAACAGGACATTTATCATATCTATCTGTCTGTCTGTCTGTCTGTCTGTCTGTCTGTCTTGTATCTATATCTATGCCCTCTCTATCATTATATCTACGGTATCTGTCTATCATTATTTGTTTATATCTATATCTATTATCTTCTATCATTCTATCATCTATCACTATATCTATCTATCTATCTATCTATCTATCTATCTATCTATCTATCTATCTATCTGTCTGTCTTGTATCTATATCTATGCCCTCTTTATCATTATATCTACGGTATTTGTCTATCATTATTTGTTTATATCTATTATCTTCTATCATTCTATCATCTATCACTATATCTATCTATCTATCTATCTATCTATCATTTGTTTGTATATCTATTCTATTGTTTATATCTATATCTATTCTCTTCTATATCTATCTATCTATCTATCCATCCATCCATCCATCCATCCATATATCCATCTATCCACCCTGTCTATTCTATCTATTCCATCTATCTGTCAATCAATCTTCCCAGCTGGCTTTTGACAAGGAAGATCCAAGAGGAAGCAGGCTGGACAGGTCACAAGTCACAGGGATATCTCGCTTAACAATCACAGGGATTTGAAAAAAGGGTCATAAAATCGGATGCAGTCATGTGATGCCTCCCTTAACAAGCACACAACAATACATTTTCCGGTCCCTATTATGATTATAAAGTTAAGGACCCTCTGTAATTCAGGAACCAAGCTGTGGGTTGCACAAACACAATCAGGGAGAGGAGAAGGAAATCCGTGCAAAAAACTGCACTGCTAATCTATTCAAATCCAAGGGTGTCATTTAATTTTGTCTGGGGGAAAATTTAGAGAAACCACACCCCAGTCTCTCCCTTCCTTGGGCAGTTCTCCTGCACCTTTGCTTTCCCGGCGATGCAAAACTGCCTCCTTTTTGTGGGACAAATGGTCTTTCCTTATCCTCCCCCCCCCCCAGATTGTGACTCCTGTTGCTGTTACTTTTAGAGAAAAAAAAATCCAATTTACGCCCCACATCTTGCAGAACTGTAGCCTGGCCATCCTACAGGTTAGGAAGATCTCCTTTTCCTGCCAAACGGAGGAAGATCAGTTCAGCCCGAAGTGTGGATCACTGACTGCTGCTTCTGGTGACATTAGAGCATGATTAGACCCCGCATGAAACGAGGCCAATAAGGGTCTGCATTTTTCTGTAATGCACTAACAATAAGATGAAGGATGAGCGAGGCGGCTAAGGAGAGACTTATGGTTCTTTAGCGCCCTCTGCTGGCCCCGAGTGGTCACAATGTTTTTAGTAAATAAAGATATCTCAAAATTGGCATTACAGACCCCAAAATCCAAAAATGGTCACTAAATGAATTGTTGTAAGTCGAGGGTTCTCTGTGCATCATTAACATCCCCCTTGAAATACAGCTTCACAATGGCATCCTTGGGGGGGGTTGACTCAAATCCTGCCCCCCAACCCTTTAAAGTCTGCATCTCCCTTCAGCCTCACCCAGGAGCAAAAGTCTCATAGTCTGATATTATTGGGTAGCTTGCTTGACTATTGTTCTCTACCAGCCAATCAGGGAATGGAAAACTAGGGCCTCATTTGAATGCCGGAAACTATATAAGGGGGCACCTGGCGTGAGACCCACCCTGATTTGTAAAGACCAAGAAGAAGGAGAAGCAGCCTTGCCAAGATCTGGCTGTTCTCAGGATGCAAAAGAGGACTTATTTGATAAGTAGCAGGTGGAGGAGGAGTCAGAAGAGGAGGAGGAGCCAAGTGAAAAGGAGGAGGAACATCGTGAAAAGGAGGAGGAGTCCTCCTCTAAGGAGAAGACCTTGGAGGACTTTGGTCCGCAGAAGAAAGAAGTTACCAGTCAGAGCAAAGAAAAATATATGCATCATAAGATTTCCCAAACGAGGTTATCGGTTGAATTGCCCCCTCATGTCCTGGTGTTTTGACCGCTGGATACGGGGCAGCAGGAATCCATCTCAGGTGACCGAACCTCAGGTGTTGTATAAGAAAAGGGCTCCCGGTTTTAGGATGCCCTTCCCAGCCAGACATCAGTCCAAGAAGAAGCCCCACGCCCAACTCCGGCGCTGCCCAGATTTCCTACAAGCAGCCTTGAGGGAGATGGCCAAGAAGGACGGGGCAAAACGGACAGCAGCATCGGCGGCCAAAAAGCGAAGACACTACTCCGAGAACGAGATCTTCTACAAGTTGGCCAACTCTCTGTCGAGGCAAAGAGAAGACCATCCTGGGGTCTCTGAAAGAAGGCCGGAGGGGGTAGCCCCCAAGATAGCTCAACCAAGTGGAGGAACCTAAAGACACGGGCCTCTCTCTTCTTGGAAGACCGGGCAGGAGAACCAACACAGAAGAGAGAAAGATACGTCAAGAACCTGCCCTGCGTCAAAGATCCAGCAACCTTCAGGAGACCACCTGGCTTGATATTTCAGTCCCCGCACGAAAGGACCTTTTTCCCCTGAACCTTTAAAATTAGTTGTATCTGTACCAGAAGACGAAGAAGAAGCAAGGACACCGCTTGAGAGAAACCATCTCCCCCGGTCCTGACTTCGGTCAGATTTTGGGTTGCTCGAGGTGGGTTTTCTGCTCTGATCCAATTTGAGGATTTTAAATAAATAAATAAAACAAACTGGATCTTTTGCAACACAGACCCCCCACATCCTGGGATGCTCAGGGGCAGCAGTGGGGGGCGGGTGTTGGTGTGTGGATGCATTCCCCCTACGAAGCAGGAACGCGGAGCGCTTGGTGTAGACATCTAACGGAATCTAACTCCTTCCCCACCTCAACCCTGCTTGGTAAATTAAATTTAGTTCAGTCCTCACTGGATCTTCGAGGAAAGTGATCCAAGGTTAAAAAGAAGGTGAATCTGCACACAGAATTCGCCCAGATTTACTTTGCACTTTATCTAGGTAGAGGTGGAAATCCGAGTTGCCAAAACTTGGCAAACTGGGACCAATTGTTGAATAAAATCAGCTTCTGGTTGGTTCTGGTGAAGGACATCGGATGCTTGATCCTGTCTCTTTAAGATTTCACCGTCCTTTAAAACCCCTTTCTTCAACACAGGTAGTCTGACAACCAAAATAGAGCCCAACATTGTTGTTGCTAAGCGGGACCTTTGTTAAGTTTTGAGTTTTGCCCCCTTTTTAGGACTTTTCTTGGCACAGGTTAAGCGCACAACTGCAATTGTTAACTTAGCAACCCGGTTGTTAAGTGAATCTGGCTTCATTGGTTTTGCTCGTTAGGTGTCACAAAAAAAGGGATCACGTGACCCTGGGGCCTTACAACCATCATAAACACGAGCCAGTTGCCAAGTGACTGAATTTGGATTATGTGACCCGGGTTATAAGTGTGAAAAGCAGTCATAAGTCTTTTTTTCAGTGCTCAATTCAGAAATTGTGGGCTTGTAAATCAAGGGTTACCTGTATTGATCTTATTTTTCTGAACGTGAAAACATTCTCAATCAAACAAGAGCAAGAATCCTTCAAGAGCTAGATGTGTTCTCTTTTGAGTCAAACATAACCTCATAGAAATAACCCAACACCCTCGTGCCAGGCACAAAGTGTCAGGACTGCCTGTTAGATTGCAGCATAGAAGATTTATCCAAGGCTATACAGAAGAATCCGGTCAGCTAAATTCAACACTGAATTGGCAGCAGATAAGGCTCAGTGGAATTCAAGACTTGGAACCTTTGCGGCAACATAAAGACTCTGAGCTGATGATGCGTTTAACTCCACCCCCAGCTCTGCCTCTCCTCCTCCTACACTTGGGGAGTTGTTATACATACACACCAACTTTGTTTAATTTTCTCTTTAGCATTGGCATCACAAGGATGCAATGTACTGGTTTTCCTTGCCCCAATTGCTTAGCAGACTCTTTCCAGGCTGAATTAAAAACTCTACGTGGCACACCGTCCTTTGTTTTGTTTTTTTAAACTTCAACCCAGCCATTTTAAGTCATTTTTCCCTTTCTCCATCTTAAAATGTTAAAAAACAAAACACAACAAAAATATCACCCTCTAGTTGGGCCCACCTAGATTCATCCTACTGACCCTACATGCAAATTTTTAACCTTTCCTTTGGAAAAGAATTCACAAGACAGCCTGTTGCCTTGCAAAAGATCCTGCTTTTATTAGGATTTCGAGATGGATATCCTTGAGGAACGGGGAATTCGATAGGACAAGTTATTTCGTTGTCGCTACAGTACGATGGGAGATCTTCATGTTCTTGTTTTTGTGGAGCTACTCCGTCTTCTTTCTCCAGGTGGCAAAATTTCACCGATGGTTTCAAATAATGGTTTTCCCCCCCTTTCTTTCTCTTTTAAGGATTGATAAATACTAATTTCATCAAAAAATCAGCACAGGATTAAAAAATGTGCAGTTGGGACTCCCCCAAAATTACTGGATCTTTTTTGCAGGTTAATGGCTTCATTTCCCCCCCCCCATTCTTCTTCTTCTTCTATCTCGGCTCTTCTTGAAGCTTGCTTGCCGGGCCGAGAAGAAGCGAGGGCCGTTCATTTAGCTGAAAGCTTCTTGCAATTCATTGGCACTTGGTTGGAGTATCCCCGGAGCATGGGAGGCTAAGTCCTCCACCTCTCCCTCAGTAGAGGTGCCTGCAACTTCTGATAGGGAGGGACAGTTGGCCAACCTGTAGAAGATCTCATTGTCCGAGTATCTTCTCCTCTTCCTGGTTGGTTCCACCACCCACTTTGCTCGTTTCTTTAGGGCCACTTCCCGGAGCGTGACTTGCAAAGCATGACGTCCACCCCGGGTAAAGGGCTGTGGTTTTTGTTGCCGGTTAAGCCTCAGAGACAACTTCTGGGGAGTGTCAGCTATGCAAGGGCTCCAGGAGTGTCTACTCTTGTGCAAGGAAAGGATTTGGTCCCGCATCTTCCTGTTGAAATACCCGGACACCAGAGGGCACGAGGTTAAATAGCTGCTTCTGGGAAACCTTATGATGCACATGTTCCTCTTGGGTTTGGCATGGATCTTGCCACGTTTGCTAATGATCTTGGCTTGTGTGTTGCGCCAGTTCCTTCTCAGAACATCGTGTTTCCTCTCTCTTTTGAGAACAGCCATGGCTTGTGATGTTGACCTCAGTTGGCAATTGAGTTGATCCACCTGCAAATGATGAAGACCAGGTCTGAACTGTGCCCTTATATAGCGGTTCAGTATTCAAATGAAGGGGTGGTTCCAGCTTCTCTGATTGGTTGAAGTAGAACAATAGGCCATTTCCCAATAATGCCATCTATGAGGTGTTGGCCAAGATGCAACTTGAGCAGCTCTTAACAGAGAGATTGAAGATGGGGTGGAGGGTTTAAGGGGCTGTCTACAAACCTCTCCTCCGTAAAATCCATTGACTGTCGCTCCACTTCCTTGTTCTGTTTTTCTTGTACCCTGGAAGCTGTGAATGGAAAGCCATGTCTTCCACAGAATTTCCAGCCAGAGGGTGTATTTTTATACCCCTTCATTGTAGACCAGTGGTTCTCAACCTGTGGGTCGGGACCCCATTTGGGGTTGAACGACCATTTCACGGGGGTCGCCAAACAACGCAGTCCGCCATTTCCCCCCCTCTTTTCCTTAGCTGTGCTACTCCCTTTTATTCTATTGGCTTTTGAAAGCCAATAGAATAGACTCTCTTGAATAGAGTCTAATTCTCTTGGCTTTCAAAAGCCAATAGGAATTGTCCAGGCTGTCTCTGCCCTGCTGAGCCTGCCAAAAGTCCCATTCTGCAAATGGTGCTGCACCAGTGGAGTAGTCCTCGACTTACAACCAGTTGAGTAGTCCTCAACTTACGACCGGTTGGGGGGTCGCGGCACTAAAAAGTTTGAGAACCACTGTTGTAGACCTTCTTGCTTCACAACACTATTCTTAAGCTGCCCGTATTCACTGCGAATAACATATTTTAACATCATAAATGTATTAAATATGTTTTAATAGAATTAATACTTCATATGCTTTGCCTGAGATTCCAAACTTCCTTTCCAAAAAAACTCCCACCCCAAATTGGTACCCTTATATACTACCATTTTATCCTGCCTGCCATTCAACAGTATTCCAGTATTTGAGGGACTGCCACAAAGAAAAGGGGGTCAACCTATTTTCCAAAGGACCAAAATACATGGACCTAACCCTAACCCTAAGTGGAATTTTCCTCCTATGGGATTTCCCCATGTATTTTACCAGGAAACATAGATAAGGCAGGCTAGAACGGTCAGTGCCCTCCTAACCATACCCAAGCACTCTGAGTTTTTTGGCGATGTCCATTTTGCTCTATGAGTTCATGGTGACCTCACCCTAACCCTAAGTGGAATTTTCCTCCAATGGGATTTTCCCATGTATTTTACCAGGAAACATAGAGAGGGCAGGCTAGAAAAGTCAGTGCCCTCCTAACCATACCCAAGCACTCCGAGTTTGTTGGCGATGTCCATTTTGCTCTATGAGTTCATGGTGACCTAACCCTAACCCTAAGTGGAATTTTCCTCCTATGGGATTTCCCCATGTATTTTCCCAGGAAACATAGATAAGGCAGGCTAGAACGGTCAGTGTCCTCCTAACCATACCCAAGCACTCCGAGTTTGTTGGTGGTGTCCATTTTGCTGTATGAGTTCATGGTGACCTAACCCTAACCCTAAGTGGAATTTTTCTCCTATGGGATTTCCCCATGTATTTTCCCAGGAAACATAGATAAGGCAGCCTAGAAAAGTCAGTGCCCTCCTAACCATACCCAAGCACTCCGAGTTTGTTAGCGGTGTCCATTTTGCTGTATGAGTTCATGGTGACCTAACCCTAACCCTAAGTGGAATTTTCCTCCTATGGGATTTTCCCATGTATTTTACCAGGAAATATATATAGGGCAGGCTAGAAAGGTCAGTGTCCTCCTAACCATACCCAAGCACTCCGAGTTTGTTGGCAATGTCCATTTTGCTGTATGAGTTCATGGTGACCTAACCCTAACCCTAAGTGGAATTTTCCTCCTATGGGATTTTCCCATGTATTTTACCAGGAAACATAGATAGGGCAGGCTAGAAAGGTCAGTGCCCTCCTAACCATACCCAAGCACTTATTGACCTTTCTAGCCTGCCTTATCTATGTTTCCTGGTAAAATACATGGGAAAATCCCATAGCAGGAAAATTCCACTTAGGGTTAGGTCACCATGAACTCATAGAGCAAAATAGACATCGCCAACAAACTCGGAATGCTTGGGTATGGTTAGGAGGACACTGACCGTTCTAGCCTGTCTTATCTATGTTTCCTGGTAAAATACATGGGAAAATCCCATAGGAGGAAAATTCCACTTAGGGTTAGGGTTAGGTCACCATGAACTCATACAGCAAAATGGACATTGTCAACAAACTCGGAGTGCTTGGGGATGGTTAGGAGGGCACTGACCTTTCTAGCCTGCCCTATCTATGTTTCCTGGGAAAATACATGGGAAAATCCCATAGGAGGAAAATTCCACTTAGGGTTAGGGTTAGAGTCACCATGAACTCATAGAGCAAAATGGAACATGTGCCAACCAAACTCGGACCGTGCTTGGGGGATGGTTAGGAGGGCACTGACCTTTCTAGCCTGGCCCTATCTATGTTTCCTGGGAAAATACATGGGAAAATCCCATAGGAAGGAAAATTCCACATGGGGTATAGGTTAGGTCACCATGAACTCATACAGCAAAATGGACATTGCAAACAAACTCGGAGTGCTTGGGTATGGTTTGAAGGTCACTGACCTTTCTAGCCTGCCCTATCTATGTTTCCTGGTAAAATACATGGGAAAATCCCATAGGAGGAAAATTCCACTTAGGGTTAGGGTTAGGTCACCATGAACTCATACAGCAAAATGGACATTGCCAACAAAAATTCAGAAACTCGGAGGGCACTTCGAGTTTGTTGGCAATATCCATTTTGCTCTATGAGTTCATGGTGACCTAACCCTAACCCTAAGTGGAATTTTCCTCCTATGGGATTTCCCCATGTATTTTACCAGGAAACATAGATAAGGCAGGCTAGAACGGTCAGTGCCCTCCTAACCATACCCAAGCACTCCGAGTTTTTTGGCGATGTCCATTTTGCTCTATGAGTTCATGGTGACCTAACCCTAACCCTAAGTGGAATTTTCCTCCTATGGGATTTCCCCATGTATTTTACCAGGAAACATAGATAAGGCAGGCTAGAACGGTCAGTGTCCTCCTAACCATATCCAAGCACTCCGAGTTTTTTGGCGATGTCCATTTTGCTCTATGAGTTCATGGTGACCTAACCCTAACCCTAAGTGGAATTTTCCTCCTATGGGATTTCCCCATGTATTTTACCAGGAAACATAGATAAGGCAGCCTAGAAAAGTCAGTGCCCTCCTAAACATACCCAAGCACTCCGAGTTTGTTGGCGGTGTCCATTTTGCTGTATGAGTTCATGGTGACCTAACCCTAACCCTAAGTGGAATTTTCCTCCTATGGGATTTTCCCATGTATCTTACCAGGAAACATAGATAGGGCAGGCTAGAAAGGTCAGTGCCCTCCTAACCATACCCAAGCACTTATTGACCTTTCTAGCCTGCCTTATCTATGTTTCCTGGTAAAATACATGGGAAAATCCCATAGGAGGAAAATTCCACTTAGGGTTAGGGTTAGGTCACCATGAACTCATACAGCAAAATGGACACTGCCAACAAACTCAGAGTGCTTGGGTATGGTTAGTAGGGCACTGACTTTTCTAGGCTGCCCTTTCTATGTTTCCTGGTAAAATACATGGGAAAATCCCATTGGAGGAAAATTCCACTTAGGGTTAGGGTTACGTCACCTGAACTCCTAGAGCAAAATGGACATCGCCAACAAACTCGGAGTGCTTGGGTATGGTTAGGAGGGCACTGACTTTTCTAGGCTGCCCTATCTATGTTTCCTGGTAAAATACATGGGAAAATCCCATAGGAGGAAAATTCCACTTAGAGTTAGGGTTAGGTCACCATGAACTCATACAGCAAAATGGACACCGCCAACAAAAATTCAGAAACTCGGAGGGCACTCCGAGTTTGTTGGCAATATCCATTTTGCTCTATGAGTTCATGGTGACCTAACCCTAACCCGGTGGTGGCCAACCGATGGCACACGTGCCACAGGTTCGCCACCACGGCCCGAGACCATTCCAGACAAGTGGCTGTCTAATCTCTTCTTACAAACCTCCAGAAATGTTAATCCATGGCAAAGAACACAATGAATTTACAACTTGCACCAATCTTCAGTTAAAGCCATTGAAAATGTTGACCCCCCAAAAGGTCATTTAATGTGGCACCAATGAAGCTCGAGTCCGGACACAGCTGCTCACGGACCGTTGCTGTGGTGCATAAGCCCTGGGCCCTTGCAATGCTCAATGTGACAGACGGAATTATTAAATGAATGGAGAATGAGTCAGCCGGGTGTTAAATCAACATTTTTTTAAAATTGTTTTGAAATTGCGAATGATCAGTCACTCTGACAAGCCACTGTGCAGGTCTCTCCCTACTTTCCTAGCCAGGAAAGAGGATGCTGTGCGTGATGCTTGTGTAACAATGTTGGCTTGGTGAGATGCCTCTGAACTTGCCCATCAGGGTTCAGCATAATGTGCACACCAGGACTTTGTGATCACAGCCCTGCCCGCTACTTTGGGATTGACATTCAGAGTCCTGAGCAAAAGAGTGACACTGTGGATTGTCAGAACCCACACCTCTGTCAGAATGGGACAACTTGCCTCAGCCAACTCGCCATGCCCAATTTGCCGAGGGACAAAGTCAACTTGCAGTGGGACGATTTGACAATTCAATTCAATTAATTAAAACAATAGAAAAAAAAATTAAAAAATATTTTAATCTTTGCCAGCCACGTTTTATTTTCTCCCTCCTTTGGCATCCTTTCTTTAATGATTCTAGTCCACTATTTCTTTGATCGTAGTGTTAACTCTTGCTCCTGCAGCCAGTCGTCCTGTGACAAGTTGGCTACAGAGTTGTCCTGTGGCAAACTGTCGTAGACCCCACCACTGTAGCACGTGGGATGGAAGCAAACTAGGAAGTCCTGCAATCTTCCATCACAGGGCTAAGAGCTGGAGTGGGGTGATGGCTAGAGATGGCCCCAATGGCTCTCCTCGGCTATAAAGAACAGAATAACAGATCGGGAAGAGACTTTGGAGGTCTTCTAGTCCAACTCCCAGCTCAAGCAAGAAACCCTAACCCCAAAGAGACCGCAAGCTTCAAGGGCAACAATTTTATTTGCGAATGTCCATTAAAAATGCCGACGACGGCGCGGGGTTTGGTTTCGGCTCGGCAAAAACTCTTGGGTGCGCGTCTGCCGATGTGCTTTTTAAAAGGCATGCCAAAGAAAAGACCTTTTTTAAACCGCTTTTATTGTAAGAAAATACACAGTTTGAAAGAGTGAATAATGCAATATTTATGACCAAGATTATCGGGGATGGGAAAGAAGGAGAGGACGTGGGGGGGGGCAAAGGTCAAGGACCAGGAAGAGAGCAAGATGGGGAAGGGGGGGGAAGGAAAGGGTCAAGGTGATGTGATTTGATAGACAGTGTTCAACTCCAAAGATTGACTTGGAAAAAGAGGCGGGAGGGAGAGTCGGGGAGGAGAAGGGTCGGTGTGGCTTGGAATCGAGGGACGGGGAGGCAGGTAGTAAAAAAACTTCTGATCAGAGAAACAGTTAAAATACAATATGAAAATAAGTAAATTTCTCCTTAAATTTCCTTCTATACACAAAATACACAATTTTGAGAAGGCCCAATTTGTGCTCTGGGAATCCTCTGGCCTCCTTCTTCTTCTTTTTTTTTAAATTTTATTTTTTATTTTTTTTTAAGTGTATTCACATCCTCTGCAACAGCAGAAAATGATTTATGATACAATCAAGAATGTGCCAAAGGCGAAGGCCAAACTGTACGCCCACACCCACCCCACTGGCCCGGCCTTGCCCTTTCCAAAAAATAAAAATAAAATTAAATTAAAAAAAAAAATTCACGCTCTCCCTCTTTCCAACCTCCCCCCCACCCTTCCTCCCCACCCGCGAAGAAATGCCCACCAATGATATGTACACCACAATTCAGAATTTGTCATTTTGTGTGTGTTGTTTTTTTTTTGTTTGCTTTTTTTTCTGCAAAAGGTTATCAAATTTCTTGAGCTCTTCCTTAAAATGGTTTATTATTTCCACGGAAATTTCTTTCTTCCTGATGAATCAAGACCGAAAGAAAAAATAAAAAAAAGAGAAACAGGTAACAAAATTAGAAAAGTAAAAAAAAAAGCAATGGAGCAGCAGATTAAAGTAAGGCTGCGAAATCCGCATATTCAAAATTTTGCGGCTGACAAAGATTTAAAGGGAGACTAGTATAGCTATTTCAAGAGAGCTAAACGGCTTGAAATAGCCATGCTACTCTCCCTTTAAGCCACAAAATTTTGAATATATATATATCCCCATCTCTGGGGAAAAGCTGAACGCTTCTGTTTCTTTCTTGTTAATTTTATTTTTTCTGGAACAAAACAAAAAGAAGAGATTTTTTTGTTTTGTTTTGGAGGGTTTTTTTTGGGTTGCGTCGGAATTTTTCTGGCTTGTTCCTTCTTCTTCTTCTTCTTCTTGTTTTTGCTTGTATTTCCACCGAGGAGTTTGCTTTCTCGGAAAGCCAACGCAAACTTCATTTTTTGTTTCTTTGTGGTCATTGATTTGTTCGGTTGGATTCATTAGCACGGTCTCCAAAGTTTGCACCGAAAGGTTAATCGGGAAAAAAAAAGAAAAGAAAAAGAAAAATCAAAATTGCTCGCACAGAGACATTGGCGTTGTGAGACGTTATGAGTTTCCAGAGACAGCCAAGCATGGTCCAGCTCCAAAAGAGACACTCGGTGGGAAGGTGGGAGGCCCTGGTGGACTCAAATTATACAGGCACTAAGTCCGACGTGATGTCAGTTAAGAGAGAGAAAGAGAGAGAGCACGGCCAATAACTTGGGGACGGATTGGGGGAATGTTGGTTTGAGAACATACTTCTTGCTTGGTTGGCATTTTTGCTCGGTTTCGTTTTGGAAAAGGGCCAAAGGAATCGAATCTCATCTATAGTCCTCCTTGGGGAATTCTAATGTCACCAAGTTTCCAAATCCCATCCGTAAACTCTCCATATCAAAAGTTTCAATCTCCCGCTCTTGTCTTTCCAACAGAACCTTGATCTTCTCGCTACGCTCCTTCTGCAAGGCGGCCAACTCCTCTTCAATCTGGGAAAGGGAAGAGGGGAGAGAAGGTGAGATGGAGGGGGTGGGAGGAGGGGGTGGGGGCTGGAGTTTCTGGGAAGGTGGCTCCACACCTCGCCCATCGTCCCCAATCCCTGGTTCCTGGGCTGCGAGAGCTGAAGTGAACAGAAGGGGTACCTGTTTCGAAAAAGGAGAATCTTTCTCGCTCAGGGTTGGAATGAGGGGTCCTGGGTGCTCCCTGACCCTGGCTGCTTTCTTGCAGGCCCAGCTAGGTAAGGGAGTGGGGGTTACAAAGAGGAGGAGGAGGAGGAGGAGGAGGAGGAGGAGGAGGAGGAGGAGGAGGAGGAGGAGGAGGAGAACAACGACGACTGTGGGGTCCTTGGTGCTCTCTGAGCTTGGTGGCTTTCTTGCAGATGTTTCATTACCCAACTAGGTAACATCATCAGTGCTAGAAGGGAGTGGGGTTTGTGGAGAGGAGGAAGAGGAGGAGGAGGAGGAGGAGGAGGAGGAGGAGTAGGAGTAGGAGAGTAGTTTTCTTGCAGACATCTCATTACCCAAACCAGATAGCATCATCTAGCACTAACACCATCATCATCTCGACTAGCCCTGATGACAGTCCCTAGTCGGGTCATGAAATGTCTGCAAGAAAGCCACCCAGCTCAGAGAACGCCACCAGGCACTGCAGACCCCTGGATTCTTGTCCTTCGCTGAAGGTGAATGCCACCACCGAAGTCCTTCGCAGCCTGGCTCCAGCTTACCTTCTGCTCCAGATGTGCTCTGCGCAAGGACACCCTCTGCTCCAACTTCTGGAGCTCCCGTTCGTGCTGTGCTTCTGTCTGCATCTTGATCTTGCTCTGGTAGGCGTTGAGCAGCTCCATCTCTTGCTGCAACTGCAGCCTCAGGGCCTGGCATTCTGCTTCCTGAGCCTCGTCTAGGCGCAGCTGCAAGGGGGCACATCAAGAAGGGTCAGGGAGGATGGCTCCCTGGGGCAAATCATATCGGCGGTCCTCGACTTCAAACTGTTTGTTGGGCGACCGCTGGAAGTTACAAGGGCACTGACATTTTCTTTCCCAGACTCTCTCTTCTGATTTACATTCCTTTCTGTATATTTTCTCCACCCAGCTTTGGGTGTAATCGTCCTCGGATTACACCCATTCATTTAGTGACCGTTCGAAGCTACAATGGCACGGGGGAAAAGGGACTGGTGGCCATTTTTCACACCTACGACCGTTGCAGCATCCCCATGGTCAAAATTCAGATGCCTGGCAACTGACTCATATTTACGACAGCTGCAGTTATGTAATCACCAGGAAGATCTGAGTTCTAGTCCTTAGTTATAAAAGCTGACGGGGTGACTTTGGGCCAATCAGCAGGAGACAGAGAGTTCTAGTCTTGCCTCAGGCATGAAACCCAGCTGGGTGAGTTTGGGCCAGTCCATCCCTTTCAGCCCAACCCACCTCACGAGGTCGTTGTGGTGGGGAAAATGGAAGGAGGAAGGACTATTAAGTATGTTACTTATAAACCACAATAAAGGTGGGATAAAAACAATTCAATAATTCCAACATCCCTCCAAGATGGCTTTTATTTTGCTTGGGGGTTTTTTTTAGCCAGGGAGGGGCACTTCTTCATGAGCCCTCCTCCCCAGGGACTGAGGACAACCCCCTCCCGTCTTACCGCTTGCGACGCCATCATTTCATTGATGCTCTGCTCATACTGTTCTGCCAGGATGGCAAGCTTCCTCGTCTGCTCATCCTTCAGGCTTTTCAAAATAGTTTTGTGCTCACTCTTTGGAGTCACTTCCAGCTGGTGATTCTTGAGCGCTTTGTACTGCTTGGTTTGCACTTTGCACGTGTCCTGGAACTGCTTCTTGATCTGCATTTCCATGGCCTGCAGAGGAGAAGCGAGAAGCAACCGACCAATGAACATTGAAGCTCCCTTGTCCGCTTGGCATCCGTGGGATTGATTTTAAATGGAAGGAAATGTCTTCCAGGAGGGGGAATTTTTAAGCCCAATACATATAAGTCTCTCCAAATAACGTCAGAATAAACTGAATAACAGAATAACAAAGTTGGAAGGGACCTTGGAGGTCTTCTAGTCGAACCTCATGCTTAAGCTGGAGTCCTCTACCATTCCAGATAAGGGGCTGCCCAGTCTCCGGTGATGGAGCACTCACAATTTCTGGAGGCAAGCCATTCCACTGATGAATTGCCCTCACTGTCGGGAAATTTCTCCTTAGTTCTAGGTTGGGACTTTTCTTGACTGACCTCCTTGAAAGAGAGGGTGGCAGATTTGGGGAGAGGAGGAGCAAGAGTGGAATTCCTGTCTGGTTTATCCAGCAAGGCCAACAAAGGTTCACATTTGGGTTCTGAGCTGCATTGGGGGAGGGGGGGCTGCCCTCCAAAGAATAATCTATGCCTACGTTACAAGAATCCCCCCCAGATTACTTGCCTTCCCCTAGGAGTGACCAGATAAGGCTTCATGAATCTTAGGTGAAGCTAATGCCACTTGCAGCTGTGCCATGATTCCAAGCTAGGTCCTCACTTGACCCCTCCTTCTACCTTAACTGGCAGTTTCTTAACACTGGGCTTGCTAAAGGGGGGGTCAGCTGCAGGCAACAGGCTGAGTCTTCCTGGGCTGGGCTCCCACCCTCATCCCTTGACTACCTTCAAATTCTTAGGCTGTTGCCGCAACTCCATGACGTGCTTCCTGTGCAGCTCTCGTTCCCGCCGTTTGTTATACTCCAGCTGGTTTTCAAGTTCCGTCTGGTGCTGCAGCCGGATCAAGTCCATACGCAGCTTCTGCAGCAAGTGCAGCTGCCGGTATTCTAACTCCCGCGTCGACTCATCGTGCCGTATTAACATGGCATGCTCCATCTCCTTCTGGGTTCTCTTCTTGTTCAGCTCCTGCATTTGGTGGAGGGGGGGGAAAGCAAAAAACAGAGGTGAGGAGAAGCTTTTCTGCCAGTGGTCTGTGAGAATGACCTTGAGAGAAAAGAGGGAAGAGCCACAGCCAGGGGAATGGAGGGATAAGAGGCCGCTGAGCCCAGAGCCGAAATAGGGTGCGGCAAACGTCTCCGAAGAGACCCTCCCTAGTTGATTGGCTGTAAAGGCAACCAGAGACAAATGCCCTTCCAGACTTACAAGAGTCTGTTAAGGTAACCTTACGATAAAAGATAAGAGCTAGTACTTCTGAGTGGGTTTCCAGTCTGGGCTATCTTGCATGCTTGACACTTCTTAAGGAGAGACAGCCAGAACCTGCCCTTCGCCCAAAGCAAAAACAGCCGCAGACAATTTTTGCCAAGGGCAGGAAAATCAGGAAGGCCAGGCGATTTAAAATGAATACAAAAGTCTATTGCAAGGTCTATTGTTCTCTACAAGAACAAAGCAAATTGGCAGCAGACGAGAGTCAACCGAATTCACGGTGGGCTGGATCTCTCGTGGGTGCGAAGGGAGTCGAGATTGATGGCACGTTTGACCCCTCCTTCCGGCTCAGCCTAGTCATCTCCCACAATTGCTGTCTCCAAAAAACAGCCAGAGAGAGGGCTTAGGGACCCGCAAACTCACGAGTGAAGCTGCTTGTCTTTCCTCCTATACTTCTATAGCCCCTAAGATCTGCATTCAAAGGTCTGGAGGTTCTCCCGAGACCGTGCAGCCAGTGGACTTTTTCTCCCCCATTAAAAGATGTTTTGGGGTGCCTTCAAGACAGTCTTGACTCCTGGACCAATCCCGGAAGTTTTCTTGGCAACATTTTTAACCATGACTTGGCCCCCAGCCTTCTTCCTCCCAGGGCTGAGAGAGAGTGGCCCAAGGTCACTAAGTTGGCGTCATGTCTAAGAGACATCTGGACCTCATATTTCCGCAGTCCTCCTCCAGCCCTCTTAACCAGTAGACCAAACTGCCTCTTCCCATTCAACTAGACCGGTGTTTCTCAACCTTAGCAACTCTTAAGAGGTGTGAACTTCAATTCCCAGAATGCTACAGTCAGCCAGGCTGGCTGGGGGATTCTAGGAATTGAAGTCCACCCATCCATCTTGGATGTCTATGGGGATTCCCAGTCATCCAGATGTCCCAAAGATGCTTTTTCGAAAGGCTACTGGACCCTCTTTGTTTTTCCTTGAAGACGTTCCTTGCTTCTCATCCAAGAACTGGAGAAGCTTCTCGGAAGAGTAGTGAAACGTCTTCAAGGGAAAACACAGAAAGCCCAATTGCCTCTCGAAAAAGCACCTTTGGGACACCTGTCTTACCATTGTCAAGGCTGAGAAATCTTACAACTAGACCAGTGGTTCTCAACCTTTCTAATGCCGTGACCCCATAATACAGTTCCCCATGTTGTGGTGACCCCCCAGGGGCGTGGCCAAGTGGGTGTGGTCACCAATAAGAGGGAGTAGGACAGCTAGGGAAAAGGGAAAAAAAGTGGTGGACAGCGTGGTTTGGCGACCCCCGTGAAATGGACGTTCGATCCCAAATGGGGTCCCAACCCACAGGTTGAGAACCACTGAACTAGACCTTTCTAACACAGACACCTTGGCTTCGTCTCACCAAAGGAATGCCAGAACTTTTCTGCGTCCTGGTGGCAGAGTTTCCTGCCAGTTTCTTGCCAAGACAAAGCAAACGTCTTGCAGCATGCATGCAACTAAACACCAAAGCCAAAACCTTTTGGGTGTCTCATGGTGTATTTCTGAAAAGTCTCCGGCAGATGGCGCACAAGCAAATGTGCGTGACAGCCGGGAGGAGTTAAACTGAAGGGTTTCCCCTGATGCTCTCCGAGTTTGGTGGTTTCCTTGAAGATGTTTCATTACCAAACTAGGTTACATCGTCAGCGTGCTGAGGAGGTGGTCTAGTTTGGTAATAAAACGCCTTCAGGGAAACCATCAAGCTCAGAGAGCACCAAGGACTTCACAGTCTCCTCCTCCTCCTGCAAACCCCACTCTCTTCCAGCACTGATGATGCTACCTACTTTGGTTAATGAGATGTCTGCAAGAAAACAGCCAAGCTCAGAGAACAGCAATGACCCCACAGTCCTCTTCCTCCTCCTCTTCCTCTTCTCCACAAACCCCCCTCCCTTCTAGCACTGATGATGCTACCTAGTTTGGTTAATGAGATGTCTGCAAGAAAACAGCCAAGCTCAGAGAACAGTAAGGACCCCTCATCATTTCAACCCTGAGCTGCAAATATTCTCCTTTATCAGACAGCGTCAAACTTTCGGCACTTTCTGCCCGGGAAAACGACATCCGTGCTCCAAATCTAAACCTATCACGAATCAATGATAGCAGAAGAATCCAGAACCGAAAAGGAATTCTGGGAGTTGAAGTCCACGGGTCTTAAAAGTTGCCAAGGTTGGAGATTCCCTGCTCTGGAACCTTCTAAAAGAAGATTTGGGGGGAGGGAAACCGCACACCGGCCCTGTCTATCTGGATTTGCTCCGTTTTGCATCCTTGGGTGTAGTTTTTTTTCAGGGGGGGGATGAGAGGGGGGGGATTTAAAAAGGCTAAAAGCGGAGACCTCACGGATATTCTGCTGCTCCAGCTCATGCCTTCGGATCATGGTTTTCCGCTTGAAGAAACGGCAGTTTTTGTCGTAGTAGAGTCTCTGCTGGCTGAGAAGATGCGCCTCCTCTTCAGCCTGTGTGTGCTGCAGGTTTTCTTTGTGTTTCGAGATCCTTTCCTGCTTCTCCTTCTTGGGTGTGCTGTGGTCCTCGTTCATCTCCTGCGGGGAGGCAGAAGGGCACGCTGAGGAAAAGGCAACCCCCTGCAGCGGGAAGGAAACGGGGGGGGGGCGCTCCTGGCTTCTGCTGGTAAAAGCTCCAGGATCAAGCTGGGGTCCTTCTCTAATCTCCCCCTCTGACAGAGTTTAAGTGGAATGAAAACCCCACTCCTTTCCAGCACTGATGATGTTACTTAGTTGGGCGATGAAAGGTCTGCAAGAAAACCACCAAGTGCAGAGAGCGCCAAGGACCCCCCAGTCATTGTCCTCCTTCTTTCGCTCCTCTTTTTCCACTTCCTCTTCTCCCCTCCTCCTTTTCCCCTGTTCCCTCTTCCTTTTTTACTTCCCTCCTCCCCTTCCCCTTCCCTTTCTCCCTTTTCCATTTCCCTTTCTCCCTTTTCTTGTCCTTCCCTTTCTCCTCCTCCTCCTTTTCCACTTCTCTTTCTCCCCTCCTCCTCTTCCCCTCCTCCCCCCTCCTCCTCCTCCTTTTTTACTTTAGATTCTCCTTGCCTCTTTAATCTTTTCCTTGCAAATCTTGTATTGCTTCTTCTGACTTTCTAAGAAATTGGTCAGATCCCTCTTCTGCTGAGCCAAAATCTGTTGCTGGAACTTCTTCTCATCGGCTGCCGCTGTCTTTGCCTGCGAAAAAGCCGGAGAAGGGTGCTTTCAAATTTAAAATCGACCCACGTTTTCACACAGACGGTCATTTGGGGGACTGAAGGCTAAAACATAGGATGAACGGTTGCAGGAATATGGCTAGTCTAGAGAAAAGGAGGATTAGGGGTGACAGGATAGCAGGGTTCCAATATCTGAGGGGCTTCCACAAAGAAAAGAGGCGCCTGAAGGCAGGACAAGAAGCAACGGATGGAAACTAATCAAGGAGAGAAGCAACCTGGAACTAAGGAGAAACTTCCTGACAGTGAGAACAATTAATCAGTGAAACGGTTTCCCTCCAGACGCTGTGGGTGTTCCAATACTGGAGGTTTTTTTAAAATGATTGGACAACCATTTGTCTGGAATGGTATAGAGTCTCCTGCTTGAGCAGTGGGGTGGATTAAAAGACCTCCAAGGTCCCTTCCAACTGTTATTCTGTTAGTTGGGAATACCTTGCCTCCCTTCTCAGATAGGCTGGGAAGATGAACTTGTGGACAGGTAGTCTGTCAAACCACTTCCCCCCCCCCCAGGCACCTAAGCGTATTATGGAGCTGAATGGCCTCTGAATCCCTCAGTCATTAATGTGGACCATCCAGTGGGAGTGCCCGGCTCACCTCCTTTTCTATGACGGCCACCTGTTTCTTGGCTAGCTTCTCCAGTTCAATGGACGAGTTGTTGGCATGGGTCTCCACCTCTTTCTGCAGCTTGAGGCGGTGCTCGTCCATTTCAGCCTTCAGCTTGTTTTCCAGGGCGATCAGCTGCTTCTGGTGCTGGCGCCGCATCCGTTTATATCCTGACATCTGTTCCCGCAACTCGTTCTCCTGCTCATGCTCATGGATCTGCCTTGTAACCTGAGGTTAGCCAAGGGGAGGAAGGAAGAGAGAGAGAGAGAGAGAGTTAGCTCCTGCCAGGAGGAGAGAGGGCACAGAGCTCGATGACCTGGGGACTACAACAACTCACCACAGCCAACTCACCACGGTCATCTTGCCATGGCCAACTCACCACGGTCAACTCACCATGGTCAAATCATTATGGCCAACTCACCACGTCAACTCATCATGGCCAACTCACCATGGTCAACTCACCAAGGCCAACTCACCATGGTCAACTCACCATGGTCAAATCATTGTGGCCAACTCACCACGTCAACTCATCATGGCCAACTCACCAAGGCCAACTCACCATGGTCAACTCATCACGGCCAACTCATCCCAGTCAACTCATTATGGCCAACTCACCATGGCCAACTCACCATGGTCAACTCACCACGGCCAACTCATCACAGTCAACTCACCATGGCCAATTAACCACGGTCAACTCATCACGGCCAACTCATCACGGTCAACTCACCATGACCAATTCACCACGGTCAACTCATCACAGCCAACTCACATCAACTCATCATGGCCAACTTGCATGGCCAACAATACAATGCAAATCATAAAAACCCAATATAGAAAGAATAAAAAGCAATAACTCCCCACCGTCAATGCAAGCATGGCTCCAGAAACACCAGACCATCTGATCACCACATTGCTTCATTAAAATGATTCCGGGGCCACTCAACCCCGTCTCAAGAGACATCAAGGTCACTGTTCACTCATACACCAGACCTACCTCACCTTGAAAATACATACAATCCTTGGTCTGGAAGGGACCTCAGAGGCCTTCTAGTCTAACCCCCCTGCTCAAGGCAGGAGACTGGACTTTTAAGACTTCTGGACTTCAACATGGCTGGCTGTTTAAGTCCACCAGTATTGAAGTTGCCAAGGCTGGACACCCCTGCCTTAAACTGCGTGCAAGAGAGCATGGCCTGGAGGCGAGATGGGCGGCATATACATTTAATAAAATAAATCAAATAAGATCAGATACGTGGCTGGTGGTGGAGCCATTTCTGCAGGAAGATGGGGAACAAACGAGAAAGGACGATCATCTGAAATGGCTCAGTAGTAGGATCAGAAGCTCAATGGGGGATATGAAGCGTGACCAGATCTCCAGGAAAGGAATCACAAGATCCTACACCTTGCTGTGGCCGATGGGCCATATAGTCCTTCCAGCTGAGGTTCACCCACAGCCTGACGGACCAGATGGCCCTTGCCATCTTGCTAATTGCCCTTATCTTAACCCTGTCTGATGGATAACCCTAGATGTATGATCTTGGTTGAGTGTCTCCATGTCAAGGAGAGGGAGAGAGAGAAGGGGGGGGGGAGAAGGAGAGAGTGTTCCAGCATTTGAACCACAGAATCTACAAGTAACTACTAACAACCTATTTTCAGAGTTACGTGCACTGTGAGGCGGTACATAAGTTTAAGTGCTATTGCTATATGTGGATGGCCCAGTGGCCCAGTGGTTAAGATGCCGGGCTTGTCGACTGGAGAGTGGGCAGCCCAGGTTCGACACCCAAGCGCTAAGCAAAGGGATGAGCTCCCGGTCCTCAGCTAAGCTCCTGCCAGTCTAGCAGTTCGAAAGCCTGCAAACGCGAGTAGATAAATAGGTACCACTTCAATGGGAGGGTAACAGCACTGTGTGATGCTGATCACATGGCTGCGGAAATGTCTTTGGAGAGCACCTGGTCCACGGCCTTGAAACGGAGATGAGCACGGCCTACTAGCGGAGTAAAATCCGCAGGGACTGTTTTTTTTTTAATAGTAGCATATGAAGTTTCCAAAGTTTTGTTTGTGCTTCCTTCACCAAACTGATTTGTGCTGTTGCCATCTCCAGTGAATAGATTATCCCTGAAAGGAAGGAAGAAAATAATTTATGCTAAGATGGTTGCTATGTGCACTAAAGCTGCCACCTTATTCTTGGGCTTAGCAACATCAGTAAATTTGCAAGGGGACCCGGACGTCCCGGCAATCCTCCACCCAAGAGACAATGGATTAAATTTGGGGGTCATCCACCTAATCAATGTCGCTTTTAAAAATTAATTGAGATTGAAAATTGGGCGACTCAGCCCCTTTGCCAATTTTAATCCAAGTTCTCCCCAGTTTACTGATTTGTCTGAACAGCACTACGGTTGAGTCACATTGCCTGAGAGAGTGGCACACACACACACACAAAACACAAGCCACCAACTAAGGACATCTCGGCTTCTTTGTTATCTGATGCTTCTAGGCAAGAGTGTAGGAAGGAGAACAAAAAGGCAAGCGAGTGGATAGGAAGTTTTGAGTCTTTCTAGGAAAGAGAGCACATGGCAGTTCACCCAGGTGGAAGCAAATTGTTCGTATCACCTATGTTCTCCAGTGAGTTTGGACTGGTTTGGGAAGCTGTGAGGCATTTGTCAGGCCAACCCAGTGCAAAAATAAGGAGATGTTTCGAAAACATGAAGTGTTGATACCACTTTACAAGGCCTTGGTAAGGCCACACTTGGAATACTGCATCCAGTTTTGGTCACCACGATGTAAAAAAGATGTTGAGACTCTAGAAAAAGTGCAGAGAAGAGCAACAAAGAGGATCAGGGGACTGGAGGCTAAAACCTAGAGGGAACTGTTGCTGGAATTGAGTCTGTCTAGTTTAATGAAGAGAAGGACTGGGGGTGACAGGATAGCAGCTCTCCAATATCTCAGGGGTTGCCACAAAGAAGGGGGGGGGGTCAAGCTATTCTCCAAAGCGGCAGAAGGCAGGACAAGAAGCAACGGATGGAAACTAACCAAAGAGAGAAGCAATTTAGAATTAGAACTCAGATTCTCCTGGTGATTGGCCCAAAATCATCCAGCTGGCTTTTGCGCCTAAGGCAGGACTAGAACTCATAGTCTCCTGGTGATTGGCTCAGAGTCACTCAGCTGGCTTTCACGGAACTAGAACTCTCAGTCTCCTGGTGACTGGCCCAAGGTCATCCTGCTGATTTTCAAACCTAAAGTGGAACTAGAAGTCACCATCTCCCGGTGACTGGCCCAAAGTCACACCGCTGGCTTTCATGCCTAAGGTGGAACTAGAACTCACGGTCTCCAGCTTTCTCGCCTGGTATCTTCATCACAAGACCAAACTGGGTCTCTCTCCCATCACACAAGTCACAGCTGGCGTCCTTCATTGAATTTTGACTGCATCCTGTTCTACTACTACTATTGCATCATGCTCCATATGGGACACTGCCAGAAGCCTTTTCTTCTCCTAAAGAACATATAAGATCCCAATCAGAGAGTGACTGCAAACTGGCCAGATAATTTGTAGTTGGGTCATCATTACGGAGGACACCAAATTGGATACAAAGCTGAACACTATTTAAGAGTTGTTTTATGTTAAATTTCATACCGTCTGTACTAAGCTTTGGTGCTCCCCTACACCCAACTAACGTGCCTCTCTCTTTTTAAAAAGATTCTTCTAGACTTTTATATATGCTTTCTGGGCTCATATCTTCGGGGCCTTCCACATTTTTAAGACCCCGATGTATCTTTCCTTGCTTTTCATTTGATTGTAATTCCACCCTCCTTAGGCTGGTCCATGGCCGTGGTAAAAGATTTGATTTGATTCTGAAAAGCCCGTTTCAACTGCAAATTGAGTACGTTTGATGCTCAACAAGAACCTTGGGGACGAGGCTGCGATAGGAAGGGGAAGACTCATGATAAAAATAGTAGGTAATAAAACATTCATTTATTTATTTGTTGCATTGAGAAGGCTGCCCAACGCTAAGAAGACACGCCACGTTAAAATGGGATAATAAACAATCAGAAGAATAAACCTGGAAAGGGCAATTCCTCAAAATAAAGCCCTACGGGGGGCTCAACGTTCATCCCAACCCTTGGGCTTGATAGAACGTCCAGATTTTCATAGATGCATCCTGTTCCATGGAAATCCCATGCAACTTTGCCGGGGATGCTGGCCAGGAGGCAAGATATACTGGACCCATAAACACAGCAAGTCCTCACCTTACAACAGTTCACTTAGTGACGGCTTGAAGTTACAACGGCACCGAAAAAAAGTGACTCATTATGATCACTTTTCACACTGTCGAAGGTCACAACATCCCCAGGGTCACGTGATTTACATGCGGACGCTTGACAACTGACTCACATTTATAACGGTTGGAGTGTCCCGGAATCACTTAACAACCACGTGACTAATTTACAACTGCGGTGATTCGCTTAATCGCTATGGCAAGAGAAGTCGTAAAATGGGGACACAACTCACTCAACAAATTTTGCCCTTGGCAACAGAAACCTTGGGCTCAGTGGTGGCCATAAATTGAGGACAACCTCTGTTACTAGGCAAAGGTGAATGGATCAATGGAGGAACATTTTATGCTCCACTCTTATGTAAGCTGGATAGGGGACTCTCAAAAAAAGCTTCTAGGAAGTACCACCTCAATGAAGCAAGTGACAGTCTCAAAACCAACCAATTGGAAAAATTGCAGGCTTGTAAACAAAATAAATCTGACTAAAACCCAGGATCATCTCCCCAGAAATGAAACCAAGAGCCTTTTGATCATTCTGAGGCCACACGAGCTATTTGCACATGAGTTAGAACATGGAATAAATAAGGCTGGAAGGGACTTTGGTGGTCTTCTAGTCCTGGACATCTTGCAACATAGCAAAGAAACAGAGACTTAGCAGAGGAAGCATAAAAAACTCCAGAGACCTACATCCCTGAAGAGGTCAACTGGTCAGTTCTACTCTTTAAGAGCCTGAACTAGTTTGTTTCTGGCTTAAATTTTACCCAACCATGATCAACAACCCAAGTGCTGGTCAGATCAATGCAGGAGGGAGGGTACTCCATTCATGCTGACGGAAAATTCTGGGAGTGATCTTCCCAAGTTATAATCTGCAGTTGGAGAAGACCTAAGCAAGGTGAAGATGCTAAGGTCTCCCTCAAATGTTCCTCTAGACTTGGTGCTTGGTCATTTTTGCTCTCTGAGATGGTACGGTGGGCTAGGATGACCTCTCTTTTGAGGACATGCCCAAATATCTAATTTGGCTTTACTACAGGACCACGATCATCCCTGATGTCCCTCAGGGAACAGCAAGAGTGAAACTTTTAACATTTAAGTTAAGAGCGTGCTGCCCATTTCTGTTAAGTGAATCACTGCAGTTGTTAAATAAGTCACATGGCTGCTAAGTGAACCCGGCTTCGTTGACTTTGCTTGTTAGAAGGTTGCAAAAGGGGGAAGTCACGTGACCCCCCCGGGACGCTACAACCGTCCTAAACATGAATCAGTGGCCAAACGTCTGAATTTTTGATCACGTGACCACGGGGGTCTGTGTGTGTGCTTCAACGGTCGTTAAGCGTGAAAAACGGTCATAGGTTATTCTGTTCAGTGCCGTAATAACTTCGTTAACAATGTCGCTAAATGAACTGCGGTTGTAAGTCCAGGATTTTCCCCGTATCCACTTCCCTGCAATTCTTAAAGTCTCCTTGTGGTTCCTCAAATTTCAAATCCAGATGTTGAGGGTTGGGCGGAAAAGTGAGCAAAATGAGGTGCCAATAAGCAGGTGAGAATTATGAAGGAGGCCAGATGGAAACCTGGCCATCAGGGGTTAGGTGGGAGTGGGAATTGTGCAGAAATGTGAAGTCCACAAGTCGTAAAAGGGCCAAGTTTGAAGACCCCTGACCTAGTCCAATTCAGTCCAGCAAGAGCACCAAAATGTCCCCACAGAAAGAGAAAGAAAGCCAAGTTTGGAAAGAGACCCTGCTCATATCCTCACAGGTGAGCTGAAATCCTGAAGAGGAGCACTCCTCCATAGGTAAGAAAAGTATTGCCATATACACCTGGCTGCAATCAATTAAGTCACTTCTTCACTGTACATCTCTTTTTATGAGTTAGATCTCCCCTTCTGGGGAGTTAAAAGCGTCCCCTGACTGACACACGTCTTCTGACTGGAGACAGAGGAGGTGAATGTGAGGTTCACACAACTGCTGGGCTGGTCCTGTTCTGGCTTCATGCGCGTGTGACCCATGGCTGGTTTATGATAAAAATAAACCACCATTGAGTGTGAATGACAAAGGGGAAACAGAACCAGGGCTGGCTTGCCAGCTGTCTGATTTTTATTCGCATGCAGCATTAACGGGAGATAACTCGAATCACGGTGACACACCTCCAGGCTCCGTGGCGGGAGTCCCTCCTGTTCCACCACAATAAGGCCCTAGATGGGTTTTGGGGGGGGGGTCTAGCAATTTTTTTTATTTTTTAAAAAAATCGCCTTTTGAGACGGTCAGAAAAGACTTGACTCTGCAAAGATGCCTCCGTCAGCGCGATAGGTCAAAACGTGGGATAGGAAATGATAAATAAATAAATATGTTCCTATTAGGAGAGCCAGCCTAGTGAGGGATCCTTAATCGACCACGTGCCTGAAGGGGTTTGCACCATTCGCCCAAGCCAACTGGGATGGGGTTGAGAGAGGACGCTTGATGTTCTCCTCAGCTCATGAATGGTCGGTGAGGGACCACCAAATGGTTTTCTTAAGCTGCCTAAATTATGCCCGGCTAGCATTTCCACCCAAGGCGTGAGAACAAGCAAGGAGGTTGACTGTAGTAACTTAAAAGCTGGAAGGCAGCCAGCTTCGTAGTAAGAGAGGTTCTTATCCCATCCAGGTATAAGAATTTTTGGGAGAAAAAAAAAAAGATGAAAACCCCATTTGAAGCAGGTGGGGAAAGCCGAGAAGAGCCTCACCATGCATTCAGGTCACCTGCCAAGCTGGCACTTCCCTTGTGCCATAGAGAAAAACACACTACCCTACACACACATACACACACACACACACACACACACACACACACACACACACGCATACACACCCATCCTGGGCTCGGTGCCAGGAAGGCTCGTGAGCAATGCCGTAAACTCTCCAGTTTCAGCACCAGGGTAGAGGACCTTCCACGCCTGCCTGCCCATTCCTTTGCTGTCTCAAGCCAGCCAGGGCTCCCGGCAAGCGGCTTTGATCTGCTGTGAAAGCAGCAGCAGCAGTGGGGTGGGGTGGGCTGTGGGGAGACAGATGCTCTATGGGAGGGGAGAGGACTCCGGGAGACAGCAATGGAGGGAGGAAGGAAGGAAGCAAGGGAAGGAAGGAAGAGAGGGAGAGAGGAAGGAAGGAAGGAAAGAAGGAAGGAAGGAAACAAGGAAAGGGGGGGGCGAAAAAAAGCATCATTCAAATGCAAGGCAAGACCAAAACCGGGAGCAGAGTTAACCATTGTAATTTCTGGGTTGGCTCCGGATGATGTCATAATGGCAGACAGCAAATGCAACGGCTAAGCACTGGGCACCTTGTAAATCTCTCTGCCCATGTGACCTCTAATACCGAGATTTGGCCGAAATACTAAATGATTTCTTAGCATTTTGAAAGGAGAGAGAGAAAAAGAGAGAGAGAGAGAGAGAGAGAGAAAGAGGGGAGAAAAAAAAAAAAAAACAGGAAAGGAACGCAAATGGGCAAACGGGGTCCAGGATGCTGCCTCTCCTGGATCAGGGGTTTTCGCTTGCTTCCCTGTTCCAGCTCTGCCTATGTATGTTTGTGTGTGTGCACGCATGTGTGTGTGTGTGTGAGAGAGAGAGAGAGAGAGAGAAGAGGAGGTAAGAATGGGGGAGCCCAGACCTTCCACTCCACCAGCACACACCCCTTTTCCTACTACAAAGGCAGCGCTAGCAACCACATTTGCTAGAGTACAAATTCCTCTCCCGCTGTTGCTACCAGCCTCGCTCGCCACCCCCTCCTCCATCGCCAGCCTCCCATTTTCAGGAGAAACACCCTCCACCCTTAAAATAAAATAATAATAATTAAAAAAAACCCCAAGCATACCCCTCCCATCAAACAAGCCTTTGCTCCTTAGCTAGACCTAGCCCCTCTCATCCACCCCCACCCTTTTCCTAAAAAAAATAAAAATAAAATAAAAAATCAGGAACCGGTGGGAACACCCCCCCCAAAAAAGCCAAATATTACAAACGCCCCGAGTGTTAATGAATGCAAACAGCCTCGCTGCTGCTCGCCATGGTGGGGAGGGGAAGGGGGGGGGTGAGCGAAGCCAGCTGTCCCTTCCCTTTGCTCAGATCCATCACCAGTTCGTTCAAATTAAAATGATAATCATCAATATTTCGAGTCAGGCCGGCCCCACCCCCCTCGCTGCCCCACCCCCACTCCAGACAGATAATGCTCCCCAAAAATGGATGCGATTTGGAGCGAACCAATTAAGAGGCGGATAGAGAGAGATTAGATAGATAGATAGATAGATAGATAGATAGATAGATAGATAGATAGATAGATAGATAGATGGAGGGATGGATGGATCACACACATACACACTCTCGTGTGCGCGTGCAAGCACCACCCTCACCAACAAGCATGCACGCATCCCTCCTTTTTACACCCATCCCTATCCACGGCCCCTCTTCTCCCCAAAGCCCCTTGCCGTCTCCCCCTCCCACCCCCAAAATTTTCCCGCTGCTGCAAGAGGAATCTCCCGGCGCTGCTGAAGGAGAATTTGCAAAAAATAAAAAAAAAAATAGGAAAAAAATGGGGGGGTGGAAAAATAAAATAATAATCCTCCGCATGGCACCGAACGCACCCCCCCTCCCCTCTCCCATTCCGGTGTGTGCCGACCCCCGCCCTGGTCCCCATCATTCTTGCAATATCTGGTTGCTATGCCAACAGCCCCCCCTTGCCCTCTGGGAGAAAAGGGGGGGGAATGTTTAAAAAGGAAGAATTTTTTAAAAAGGGTGGTGGGCATAGAGCGGAGGGTCTTTGGTGGGGGAGGGGGAGGGAGCGGAGAACGGCTTGACCCCCTTCCCTAGACTGGAGTGTCACATCGGGAGGAGATGGGGAGATGGGGAAGGGAAGGGGGAGAGGGAGAGAATGAGAGGGAGAGGGAGGGAGAGAGCGAGAGAGAGACAGCAAGGCGAGGGGTGTGGTGGCTTACCAATGATGCTGATCTGATTGTGGCAAACGCTTCTCTGTTCCGGTAATGGAGGGCCTGATTCTGGACCGAATGAGTAGGCCGCAGTTCAGGCCTGCGCTCCCCGTGGCCCACCTCATCCCTTATGAATACATGATCCTGCAGAAATGGATAAAAAGAAGGAGAATGTCCAGTTGTGCTTTTCCCTCTTCGCCAGCAGCCTCTCGCTCACCCTGATTTTCTTCTTCGCATAAGCCCGGCTCTTTGAAATGCATAGTTTGGGCTCTCAGGCTAAAAACCCCACACGGCAATCATCGCGGCGGTGCTGCCAAAAAACACGAATCAGGAAACACATTGCAGCCTTCGGTGTGTGTGAGAAAGGCAGCCACCAAAAAAAAAAAAAAAAAAAAAAAAAAATGTCAGCTGATTGCTAAGTGGGATGCTGCTGCCTTCTGAATCCCTGGCAGGTTTTTTTTTCCCCTCTTTTTCTCTCTCTCTCTGCTTTCTTTCTTTTTTTTTTGGGGAGGGGAGAGGAGGGGGGAGATAACCTCCAGAAATCACATCGGTGCAAAAAAGAGCATCCGAAGCACCGCCGCTGCCTCCGCCGCCGAGCACTGCAGAGCTGCGAGAGTCCTCAGAAGCGCTGGCTGGGAACGGTGCACCCAAATAATCGCTTTAAAAAGATGGTTTCCATGGCTAGGGAAAATGCCGCCGCCACCGTTGCTGCTGCTGCCGCCGCTGCTGAACACAGGAGTAAGGATTTCTCTCATTCCCTTGTCCAGCCTGGGTTTTTTTTCTCTCTCTCTCTCTCTCTCTCTTTTCCTCTCCCTCCTTCTTTCCCCCCCCTCGGAACTCGGCTATCTGCTCTGGAGAAGCATGTTCTGCCTGGATGGCTGCAGCCTGGAGGAGGAGGAGGAGGAGGAGGAGGAGGAGAAGGAGGAGGAAGAGGAGGAGTGGGGGAAGGAAAGCAGGGGAGGTGGAGGAGAGAGAGAAAAAAAGCAAAGGAAAAAAAAGAAAGAAAGCAAAAAGGAAAGCAGACACCCCTCTTTGGCTCTAATCTGGTTCGCCAAAGATTCGGTGGCCACTCAAAGATGCTGCTTCCTAATCATGATCCTGCACGCTTCTAGCATTTTCTCTCCATAGCCTTGCAAAGGATGAGAGGAGGTTGGGTTTTTTTTTTCACATTTAAAGAGACAGAGCACCCTTTCCTACAAATGAATCCGGACCCCAGGGCTTCCGACAGGCGCGGGAAACCAGGAGGATTCGGAGCCTTGGGCTGGCTTGGCCGCGCTGCCTTCCGCGGGGCACCTTTCGGGTGTGCAGGGCTGGTGTGGCTGAAGGAGCTACAGATACGATGGGGGGAAAGACCTCTGACACAGAGTGGGCCCCGATTCAGAAGACGCCCCCGCACGTGCTGACGCGTGCGTGCCCAGGCTGGGTGGCCCTGAGATTTGCTAAACCCCGCCCCTCCCCCCGAGCCTCGGTAGGTCATCTGTGAAATGGGAATAAATTGCCACCTTCTACCAGCAACCGGGCTGAACACGGAACGGGCACAACGGCGTGTGCTAAAAACCACTTAGGTGGGGTTATCTGTGGTCAAAGGAACGAGAGATGCCGGCAAGTCGTCGTGTTGGGACGTATTTCCTAGAGAAGGGTGACCGACGCCGAGACAAAAAGAAAAAAAGTCCACCGCTTGCATTCTGACCATGTGCAGGAATGCGGGCAGCCTGAGCGAACGCAGGGAAGTCCTTGTTTAACGACCACCGCTGGGACCGAGGTTGCTGAGCGAAAGCGGTCGCTCACCGAAACCGCAACGGCGCTGCTGAGCTGACTTTCAAGTTTGCTGTGTTTTGCAGCCTTGCGAAGGTCACCCGTGCCAAGGCTGGTGATGGCAAGGGGATTTATTCATCCCCGTTGTAAGGCTGGGACACGAGGCAGTCGCTAAACAAGGACTCTGGTCTAGGGTGTATTGGTTCGGGTGCCGTTTGCTGCCAAAAGACACTTGCAGAAATATGTTCGTGAAGTTGCCGACAGAATCTAATGGCTGGAACAGACATTCGTTGTTAAAGGAAGCACAGGGAGGAGGCAATGCTGAACCACTGCAGGAGGTGGGTTCACTACACACAACCAACACACAAGGGTGTGGACCACAGACCAGGTTCTACTAGTTGGCCAAATTTTGACCCCGGGGGAAACCTGGCTTAGGGTTATGATTCTGCTTGCATCCGCACACCTCTCCTTCAAGGTGTCCAGCCATGCCGCTCCAGCTGACTCAACGATGGGCAGGAATTCCCAAAGAATTCTGGGAGGAGCTCCTGAAGCAAAAGCATGGACAGGTAGGTCTTTGACTTATGACAATTGGGACGGGGATTTTCACCCCTAGGCAAGGCAGTCTTTAAATGAGTCACGCCCAATTTCGATCACCTGAGCACCGGGACCCAAGGTAGTGCTTTTCCAGTGGTGCTCTGAATGTCTATGGCAGGGGTCTTCAAACTTGGCCCTTTGATGACTTGTGGACTTCAACTCCCAGAATTCCTCAACCAGACATGACTCTTTCTCACACTGAGGTCTTCCAAGAAAAACAAGAAAGTCCAGTTGCCTCCTGAAAAAGCACCTTTGGGACAACCATGACCTGGACGACTGAGGATCTCCGTAGACTTATGGGATCTGGGCAGCACTTTTGATCCCAAAAGATCCTTCGGTCCAGCTGGGGGGGGGGTCAGGAATCTGTTTGCCCATGTTTAAAGCAGCCAAGTCTTTTCTTGAGATGTATTGTGGTGGTGAAGAGACATGGCTCCTGTAAATAGCTGCAGACAGGTGCCTGGTCTCTCCAAAATACTTTTAAAATCAAACTGGACCACCCGCAACCCATTGGGTCATCCTTTCAGAGATACTTCCTTACCTAAACAGGTAAACAGAAAGACAATGGGAGGGGGTGGGAAATACCCTAGGAGCAGGAGTGGTTTCCGACTTCCCGCTGGCTTCCCCAATGACTTTGCTTGAGAGAAGCTGGCAAGGAGGGTTGGAAATCGCAATCACGGGGACCACAATTGACCACGGCAATGCTACGGTATGTGTGCAGATACATCTGGGGCGAAGATCCTTGAAATTTCAATTGCATGGGATCTCACATACGCGTTAAGTGAGCTGTGCCTTGATTCAAAATTTTAGCACTTGATTGCAACGTTTGGGCGGACAAGTTGCCAACAGACAAACAGGCAGGTGAGTTTTAGTACTATATAGATGTGAAGGGCTGCGCTACAAAAACTTATGAGTCTCATTAGGTGCTTTGGTGGATCTGATTCAGGGACACGCGTTCTACTGCATAAATTTTATCTGATAAGCAATATATTGTTATTGCTGTAACAAAACTGTGCAATCTTGCTCAAGGTGCACTAGCCAGGGTTTTTGGCAAGGACTACGTGCATCGGACCCAAATAATTGAGAGGATGTGGGTTTCTATAAATTACTGCAACTGAGGAAGATCTATCTGCTTTGACAATAATAGGGATAACTATAATTTATTTGCACTGTTTGAAGCACAAAGTATCACCTATGACACCCCGGACCGGGCCCACTGTTCGAAACCGGGTTGCGGGAGAGATGTGGAAGTACATGCACATGTGATGTTCCACTCATGCGAGTGGAGAGTGTTTGCGTTTGCATGTGAAGCACCCATCTGCCACTCACATGCCTCCTCCCTGCGCCGGGCCAGGCCACCAAGCTGGAAAGGTTGGGGAGCACTGACCTGTGGGGTCTAAATTGAACAGGGGTCAAAGGGACCTTGAGATGGAGCTTGCAGCAACAGTGAAAATATGAAGTGGCAATGAGCTTTATCTGGCTTTTCCCAGGCGAAGCTGCCCGACCGGGAAGATTCCTATGGAACAGGCATGGAGCAATAAAGTAGCTAGTTGGAACTCTACAGGCGTGGGTCTGGTCGCTGATGCCTGACACCATCCCACAGAAGTCACATTGGATCAGAAGTCTCATTTTAATGAGACCACCTGGATTTGGGCAACCAACACAATCTGAACATTGTACTGACTTGAACCCTGAACAACGTACCTTCTCGGGGAGATCCGTGAGCAGCTATTTTTGTCAAGAGAAGAATCCACTTGCAGGTCAGGATCGGGTGGGGAAGTGACTGAAGTGACTGTGTTAGTTTAGGGACTGTGACCACTTTGGCCACAGGACAACCACTTGGGGGAGACAAACTTCCGGAGACGAGGTGGTGTTATAGGAAAGGACAGAGGTACACATGCAGGGTTGAAGGACACAATGAGAGCAGGCTGTGGTAGAGACTGACAAATATAATCTCTTTAAAGCTGGATCTTAGAAGCTTCCCCTTGTTGTTAACTTTCTTATTTTTGTTTCCAACCCAACGCTACTCAAGATCTGCCCTGGACACTATCCTATGCATGAATTCTGCATGGACACTGACCCTAAGCTCTTAAAGTAGGTAACCCTTTAAAATAGTCCTCGACTTACAACCACAATTGGGACCACAATTTCCACTGCTAAGCAAGTTGGTTAAATGAGTCGGGCCTGATTTTACCACCTTTTCCCACAGCCCTAGCGGAATCGCTGTAGCTAAGCGAAACGCGCAATTGCCAAGCCAATCTAGGTTCCCCTGTTGACTTTGCTTGTTGGAAGCCAGCTGGGAAGGTTGCAAATGGCGGTCACGTGATCCCGGGATCCTGCGACCGTCATACATACCTGCCAGGGGCAAAGCCCTTGAATTTTGATCACGTGACCGTGCGGATGATGTTAACAGTGGTTTAAGTGTGAGGACCGCTTGTTCTTAGCGGCGTCGTAACTTTGAATAGCCACTATGTAAAGGATTGTAAATCGAGGACTACCTGCCCTGATTAATAGGTCAATGAAGACTCCATCATCCTGGCCAAAGGTATCTAAAAGGTTGAACGATGGTTAGCTGGACCAAAATGTGTTCATCTGAGGGGTTTCGTTGCTCACCCTAGCAACTTCATCAGTCAAAGTAAAATAAATAAATAATGTAATGCAATATGTCAAGGGAGACTCAGTCATCCAGGCCAGCAGTCCCCAACCTTTGTGGCTTGGCAACCCATCTGGGGACAGGGTAACTGGCATGTGTGAGCAGTGGATCGGCGTGCACGCACTGCTCCATTCACGCAAGAGGCGCAGTCTCGGTTCCTTCAGGCTTCTCCAAGCCAAAAGCTTTTGGAAAGGGACGGAAGGCCCGAAGCAGTGCGAGATCGCTCCTGCAAAGCCTTTCGTCTGTTTGCAAAAGGTTTTGGTGCAAATAGAAGCCCTTGGGGACGCGGTCTCGTGCTCCTTTGGACTCAACGAGGCTGCCCGACAGTCCAAAACCGGATCGGGTGTCCTGCACAGGCAGCCTGGGTGAGTCAGCCAAGCTGAGTATGGCACGGTCATCCCACTCGGCCTCACCACTCCACTTTTGGTGCATCGGAAGTGGGCAGCTTGGCAGCCCGGCTCAGGGGGGGGGGGGAGAGGGGAACTGGGCTGTGTGAGCAGTGGGCTGGCGTGCACGTGTACCCACTCACGCAAGAGACAAGCCTTGGCAGCACCGCTCGTGCGAGTGGGGCTTTGTGCGTGCAATCAGCCCGCCTCTCGCGCAGCCCAGTTCCGAATAGGCCACTGCCCGATAGTGGGGTGTGTCCCAGGGGTTGTGGACCCCAATCTGGACGAAAGGTATCTAAAATCTCCTATTTTTTTTTTAACTTTATTTTCCCTGATGAAATTGCTTGCATGAGCAAAGAACAAATTTTGGTCCAGTGGCCATGATTCAACCCGATTAGCTTGTGGCGCCTTCAAAACCTGCAAAGGAAGGGGGATAAAACAGAGATCAGCTGAGAGCTGGGGGAGGGGGGGGGGAAGCACCATCCAGACGTACCTTCTTAATCACAAGAGAGGAAGTGGAATTAATGGTGCTCTCGTTGTCATGCATCAGAAGCAGCTCAGAACTGCTCTCCTCCATAACCTCCTGCATGCTGTTGACACTGCTGCTCTGGCTGCCCGTGCTCACAGACATGCTGGGGATTGAGTGATTGCTGCCCAGACTGTCCATCTTCCTAGTCAGGTTTGTCCCATGCTCACTGTCCTACAAAATAAGGAGCGGGAAGTTTAACGCCGGGAGGAAAGGGACCGCCGTCAGCCAGAGGGAGACTAGAACAGGGACTGTTCGGCAGACACAAAAAGTTCTCGCCTACTTCTTGGTCCCTTCCTCCTTCTGTGGGGTCCTGGGTGCTCTCTGAGCCTGGTGGCTTTCCTGCAAGATATTTCATTATCCAAGGAGGAGGAGGAGGGAGGAGGATTGTGGGACACTGTGACCGTCATAAAAATGGATCAGTCGCCTAGTGTCCGAATTCTAATCGTGTGACCCTGGGGATGCTGCAATGGTCATCAAGGGTGAGAAAAGAGTATGTCCCTTTTTTCAGCGCCATTGTAACATTGATCAGACACCAAATCAGGGGTCTTCAAACTTGGCCCTTTGATGACTTGTGGACTTCAACTCCCAGAATTCCTCAGCCAGCATGCAATGCAAGTCATCAAAGGGCCAAGTTTGAAGAGCCCTCCAGTAAACGAACTAGCTGTATAGACAAACTTAGTTTCTGGCCATCTGGTAAATGGCATTCCTTGAAAGATGATATTTTGCAGAAGATTATTTCCTGTCCTACACATTTAAAATGGCCATTTTTGGCTAAGTATCCTCAAAATCCCATGTATTGATTAGGCACCAGGTATGAAAGGGGAGAATCACACCTGGAAAAGGTTCCACTTCTATTTCAATGGCCATTAGTTAACCCCATCCGAGAGAGCAAGCGATTAAAAAAAAAAAAAGTTAGTTGCTATGCAGCCTGGGTAATATCTGCCTTGGGTTGTTCCAGCAGCCATGATGACAGAAAGCAGATGGAGGTTAGGTCCAGGTAGTCCTCGACTTACGTCCACAACAGGGACTGGAATTCCCATCGCTAAGCAAGGCGAGGCGGTGGTTCAGCCAGCCAGGCGCCCTATTTTACCACTTTTTTATTTTTTTTGCCATGTCGGTTAATGAATCCCTGCAGTTGTTAAGCGAATCACCTGGCTGTTAAGCGAATCCGGCTTGCAACATTGGACTTGGCCGCCAACGGCGATCACGTGACCCCAGGATGCTGCAACTGTGACAAATAAAGGCTTGATTTGCCAAGCACCCAAATTCTGATCCCGGGGAATGCTGCGATGGTGGTTAAGCGTGAGGCCTGGCCATAAACCACTTTCTTCAGGGCTGTTGTAAGCTTGACTGGCCACTAAACAAATGGTCGTTAAGTCGAGGAGTACCTGAACTTGGGTTTGCATGCTGCATGCAAGGGTTACTTGACGGGATCAAGACCCGCTCCGGAAGAAGGCGGCGGGTGAGGGTGAATTCACGCCCAATCACAACTCAAATCAGGCTTCTCCAATCTCTGTCTCTCCCTTGCTAGTTGACGGGCACGCTGGCGGTAAAACGTCTGGGAGAAAGGATCTTGGTCACAGGACTATTATGGCCCTTGTGGCTTTTAAACCAAGATGGCTTCTAGTCTAAAGAGCTGTGCTGACCCAGTGGCTGGAATACAGTACTGCAGGCTAACTCTGTTCACTGCCGGGAGTTCGATCCTGACCGGCTCAAGGTTGACTTAGCCTTCCATCCTTCCGAGGGCGGAAAAAGAGGACCCAGATTGTTGGGGGGCAAGAGGCTGACGTGGTAAACTGCTTGGAGATGGCTGTAAAGCATTGTGAAGTGCTATTGCTACGTTACACAAAACTAGAGAGGGTCTCTTTGGAAATGTTTTTCACAGTCCGATTGCTTCTGCGGGATAAAGCTGCCTTTTTTTAATCTGACCATTTCCGAGTCTGGTGCTCCTCGTCTTCCTGTTTCTCAAGGACATTCTCACCAGCCATGACATACACCGGGCTAAGCCATTGTTTGTTTTAACCAGGGCTTGTTGTTGAACACACCGTGGTGGCCTGCGTACAGAAGCTGGATGCAATGGTTTACAAAGCACAATAAACCATGTATTTTCTTCACAGCCCTGTTTTGGTACCCCCACAATAAATGCTGCACTATTATGTTTGATAAAGACGCAGCCTTCCATCCGTCCAAGGTCATAAAACGAGGACCCAGATTGTTGGGGCAAGATGCTGGCTCTGTAAATCGCTTAAGAGAGGGCTGTAAAGCATTGTGAAGCGGTATATAAGTCTAAGTGCTACTGCTGTCTGTCTCTCTATTATATATCTATCTATCATCTGTCTGTCTGTCATCTATCTATCCCTGGTGGCGCAGTAGTTATAATGCAGTATTGTATGGAAAAAAAGTCACCCCCCTACATAAATAAAGGATCTACTGAGGATGACATTCTCCAGTTGTCTTCCACTGCTTGACGACGGCCATAGACTAGTCTTATCTCCATTCCAAGGTGGAACGAAGTGACCATTGGTCCATCTCATTTTAATTCAGCCATGGGAGAAGTCGTAGTTCTTACTGGTTGGGCTGGATGCTCTATCAGCTCCATTGGATATGGCCATTGAAGGAAGACACCTTGACTCACTTTCTTTACTCTGGGTACACAATGGCAACTACGCCTACCAGGCCCTCCCCGTTTTCTTTGTTTACAACTGTTTTGGGATCTAATTAGGGCCTGGTGTCCATAGCAATGGCCAAAACCTGAGAGCAAACTTGATTTGCTTCAGATGTTCTGTTGCCCTCTGTCTCAAGGACTGTCTCAAAAGCATCAGCGCCCAGAAGTCAAGACGTCAAGGAGCCTTGTTCCCAACCACATTCCTCGCGTTGTGCTGGGAACCCAATGAAAAGGGACTTGGAAGGGACCCTGCGAAGCAGGAGACACGTTATTATTATTATGACGATGACTGTTATCATTTATCAGCGGTATAGATAAACTTGATACCTCCTCCTCTTCCTGAGACTCGTTCAGAGGGCCATTGTGGACCTCCTGGAAGAGGATTTTCTTCATTTTCCGATACTGAAGGTTATCCAACTCTCGGACCGCATCCTTGGTTCTCTGAATCAAGTCTATGAGGACCCGGGGTGGACGCTCGCAGCGTACAAATTCATGCTGGGTTTTAGAAGGATAACAGAAGCGGTCTGGGTGAGAAGACAGAAGAGGCAAAAACAAGGGCCCCCCCGCCCAGCACAATCCCTGCAGATATCTCTGTCTTTCTATTATGGTAGACAATGTTAATGGAAAAGGACTCCAGCACAATCCCTGCACAACGGAAACAGATCTCTCTCTCTCTCTCTCTCTCTCTCTCCCCCCCTCTCTCTCTCTCTTACGGTAGACAATGTTAATGGAAAAGGACCCCCTTGCAACTGGGGAAGGAACAGGTTTATTTCAATGGGGGCGTCCTACGTTAAAAGGGCATCCAAAGGCCACTTAGTCCTTGACTTGTGACCACAGGCGAGTCCAAAATTTCAACCACTAAGTGAGATGGCTGCTAAGTGAGTTTTGCCCACATTTAACAACTTTTCTTGCTGCAGTTAGGAAGGGAATCCCTGCAGCTGTTTAGTGTGTTAAGTGGATCCGACTTCCCCATAGACTTTGCTTGTTAGAAGGTGGCAAAGGGGGATCACCTGATTCCTCGGGACACTCCAACCGTCATAAAGACAGCCCAGTGGCCAAGTGGCCAACTTGGAGCATTGCTAGAATGGAACCCCCGGGTTTCCTCAAGCTAGTCTGACACATCTGAAGACAAATTTCTAGGGGTGGAATCGGGTGGGGAGGAAAGTTGGGCGGTCTCTAAAGGAAAACGCCTCCCCACAACACCACATTTTCCCCAAGCAGAAAGGTGAAACGTTACCCTCAAAAGTTCTGACGATGATGGACGCTCCTGAGGTATCTTCTGCAAGCAGTAATCAACAAATCTTCTAAAAGAGTCTGTCCTGAATACGGGAACGGAAGGGATGTCAGAACGTGCTCAGGTGGGAGAAGGGAAAAAAATTCAATGTGAGACAGCTGAGAATCACTCATTGCTAGCACTGGGGATATCACCCTGCTGGGTAATGAAATGTCTGCAAGGAAACCACCAAGCTTAGAGAGCAAGAGGGATGATGGCCACCTCCTCCTCCTCCTCCCCCCCTTTCCTTTTCCTCCTCCCTGCAAACTCTGCTCTCTCTTCTAGCACTGATGATGTTACCTAGTTGGGTCATGAAATGTCTGCAAGAAGACCATCAAACTCAGAGAGCACCAAGCACCCCTCATTTCAACCCTGAGATGCAAACATTCTCTCCTATCAGTAGCTGAGAATCAGAAGGACATCACAGGCTGATTCCCCACATATTTCATGAGCTTTTACTTCATCTAAGCCAAGATCAAGCCAACCACATCACAGCTGCTTGCTGGTCAGTTTCCAACCATTGTTTCTCGTCCTGCCCTCTGGTGCTTTGGTGAACAACGTGACCCCCTCTTCTTTGTGGCAGCCCCTCAAATACTGGAACGCTGCTATCACGTCTCCCCTATTTCTTCTTTTCTTTAGACTAGCCAGACCCAAATCCCACAGCCGTTTTTTGTATGTTTTAGCCTCCAGGCCTTGGATCATTTTAGTTGCTCTTCTCTGCTTAATTTAATGTGAGGTCCTGATTCTTCACGCCTGACAGCACACAACCTAAGTACCGGATTGGTCTTCTTGGTGCTCTGAGACTCCTGATGTTTTAAATTCTACTAACTGATATTTCGTACTTCACTCTCAGAGCGGGACGCTTGCTGCAAAACTATCACACATCCCTCCTCCAAAAGCCAAACCCCCAGCTCTTACCACTCGTTAGACTGTAGCGCGGGGGAGTCGTTTTGGGCTATGTGATATAAGGCACTCATAGCGTTCATATTGAAGAGAGGTGGTTTCCGCTCGGCTGTAAGGAAAAACGGAGAAAAAAAAAGGAAAAATAGAGACAAGGCGAGGTACAATGGACTCACTGGGCAACTCCAGCCGGCTTACAAGCCGTTAAGAAGATAAAGGTAGATACAATTAAAATTCCTACATTATTCCTTATGGGAAAAATCTGTGTGGTACTCATCGTTGTTGGTACCCATTGCGTCTCCCGGAACCAGTTAACGTTGATTACCAAGTCCTACCTAAGAGCTAGAACCCAGAAGGCGGATAGCGTGGGGACGGCATTTGCTGGTTTTGTTTTATTTAAGGAGAGACATTTTACAGAAGAAAAGATTGCTTGCCCAAACGAAAGCAAACAAGCGCCGGCAACTCTGAGGGCTGAAAGGGGGAGCCACAATTTTTGCACCCCTGTTTCGAGACTATTTCAGTAAGAAGCCTTCCAGGGCAAAACTAGATTATTCCATGGCAACCGAAGATTATTTCCAAGAGAAAACCAGAATTTAGCCAGAGCTACTGCATGAAATTCAACAGTTGTCAACCCCGACTGACTTACCTAACTCAATGCAGGTAATTCCGAGAGACCAAACGTCCACCTTCCCGTCATACTGTCCATCATCCATAGCCAAGATTACTTCTGGAGCCATCCTACCAGACATGAATTCAGAGAGGGATGATTATGGGATGAAGAAAGAAAGAAAGAAAGAAAGAAAGAAAGAAAGAAAGGAAGGAAGGAAGGAAGGAAGGAAGGAAGGAAGGAAGGAAGGAAGGAAGGAAGGAAAGAAGGAAAGAAGAAAAAAAGAAGAAAGAAAGAAACAGGAAGAAAGGAAGGAAGGGAAGAAAGAAAGAGGAAAGAAGGAAGGAAGAAAAGGAGGAAAGAAAGAAAGGGAGGAAAGAAAGAGGAAGGAAGGAAGGAAGGAAGGAAAGAAAGAAAGAGAATGAAAGAAAGGAGGAGGAAGGAAGGAAGGAAAGAGGGAAGAAAGAAAAAAGAAAGAGGGAAGAAAGAAAAAAGAAAGAGGGAGAGAGGAAAGAAAGAAAGAAAGAAAGAAAAAAAGAAAGAAAGAAAGAAAGAAAGAAAGAAAGAAAGAAGGAAAGAGAGTGAGGGAGGAAGGAAGGAAAGAAAGGGAGGGAGGGAGGAAGGAAAGAAAGAAGGAAAGAAAGGAAGAAAGGAAGAGAGAGAGAGAGAGAGAGAGAGAGAGAGAGAGAGAGAGAGAAGCACAGCACTGCAACAGATGCATTCACCCCCCCCCTTCATGTCCTCCAGACCAACCGGGGATAACTCAAAAAAAAAAAAAAAAAAAAAAAAAAAAAAAAAATCAGCATGGAACAGAATTAAGCCATGCTGGGGAGGTTAAAATAATAATAATAATAACAATCGTACTCGTACCTTAAGAAGCCAAGAATCCCTTCTGGGGGTGGGGTGGGAGGGGGAAGGATGATGGATGGATGGATGGATGGATAATGCAAAATTAAAAAGGTCTCATGAGCCCTCTCAGTGCAACATGCTGGCAAATGGGCAGCCCGCACCGGCACTGTACCTGGATCCAGCCACGCAGGGGCTGAAAGGCTCCCAGGGCTCCAGGTCTCACCAGACTGAGGGTGAGTTTTCCCACTGAGACACCAACTGGGTTTTCTTGGAGATGTTCAGCCTGGGGTTGCAGCTATGAAAGAAATAAGGGGATCTGGAGCACAGAAGGGAAAGTGGGGAGGGCGGGTGGGTGGGGGGAGAAGGCAAGGTTGCAAGGCAAACACAGAAGGGAGACCCACACTACAAGCGTGTCTGGGGGGTGGCCGGCTCCTCCTCACCTGAGCATAATCTCCGACAGGTAATCCTTGACTTACAGAAAGACCGCGGAAAACCCTACAGGGACTCCTGCAACTTACAACAGGGCTCTTCAAACTTGGCCCGTTGATGACTTGTGGACTTCAACTCCCAGAATTCCTCAGCCAGGCACGCGTGCCTGGCTGAGGAATTCTGGGAGTTGAAGTCCACAAGTCATCAACGGGCCAAGTTTGAAGAGCCCTGACTTACGACAACTTCGTTCGAAGTTACAACGGCTCCCAAAAAAGGGACTCGTGACTGCTTTTTAACAATTAACGACTGTTACAGCCTCCCCGTGATGAAACTTCAGACCCTTGTCCATTGATTCATATTTATGACGGTGGCACTGTCTCCAGGGGTGGGGGTGTCTTGTGATTCCCCTCCCCCTTTCTGCAACCTTCCAATGAGCAAAGTCGATGGGGAAGCCGCATTCCACTTAACAACCGTGGAACTAACTTAAGAACTGCGGCGATTTGCTTATTAACGGCGGCCCAGTGAAGTTGTAAAATAGGGCAAAACTCACTTAACAGATGTTGCACTTAGCAAACAGAAATTTTGGGCCCGATTGTGATCGTTAAGTCGAGGACTGCCTGTAACTTAAAACTTCCAGTGATTGAGCACCCACAACTTCTAGTGACAAGCCATTCCACTGGCTAATTGTTCTGACTGTCAGGAAGTTTCTCCTTACTTCTAGGTTGCTTCTCTCCTCGGTGAGTTTCCATCCGTTGCTTCTTGTCCTGCCTTCAGGAGCTTTGGAGAGAATAGCTTGACTCCCTCTTCTTTGGGGCAGCCCCTGAGATACTGGAAGACTGCTATCATGTCCCCCCTCATCCTTCTCTTCATTAGACTAGACGTACCCAATTCCAGCAACCGTTCCTTTTATATGTTTTAGCCTCCAGCTCCCTGATCATCTTTGTGGCTCTTCTCTGTCCTCTTTTTAGAGTCTCAACATCTTTTTTACATCGTGGTGACCAAAACTGGGCTTCCCTGTGGTCGTGAGTCAAGGACTACCTGTATATAAATCAAATAAATCAACCATCCAACCAACCTAGAGGCATCTGAGACAGGGGGCTATATAAATCAAATAAACAATACACTAATAACCCCACCAGCCAACCCATGGGCTCCTAGGAGGTGCCATGCATTGGAAGCTCACACCAAAATGACACAAACAGAATGTACACAAGAACGTAGTGACTGACGAGGCTTGGGTAGGACATATTTGTAGGCAACTGGGCTAAAAGTCGACAAGGGAAACAGGCCCTCTAAAGTATTCTGATTATAAAAATAATAAAGAGTTGAGCAGGGATGTCCAAACTTGGTGACTTTTAAGACTTGTGGACTTCAACTCCCAAAATTCCCCAGACCGGCCAATTCAATCCTTCCGTTTTGGAAGTTGAAGTCCACAAAGTTGTCAAGTTTGGAAACCCCTGGAGTAGAGGATTTGTACGACCCGTTCCCCAGTAGTTACCAAACTATCAGGTTGTCTCCGAATGTTTAGTTTCTAAAACAATTTCTCTTTTTTCCACAATACTTGCCTGGTACCACAAAAATGGGCACCTATTTGCCTCATAAATTGGCTTTAGTTGATCAGCTTGTTTCTGGAAAGTGGGGGGAAAAATCATTGCAAATGGCTTCTCCTGTTCCAACTTTCAGCATCCATTGGGCCAGGACGGTAAAATGCCATATTTACATACAAATTCTTGATTTAGAACAAGTTGGCAACTTTAAGACTTGTGGACTTCAACTCCCAGAATTCCTCAGCTGGCGGACTGGGGAATTCTGGGAGTTGGAAGTCCACAAGTCCTAAAGTTGAATTTTGGAAGTTGAAGTCCACCAGTCTTAAAGTTGAATTCTGGGAGTTGAAGTCCACAAATCTTAAATATTGAATATTGGGAGTTGAAATCCACAAGTCTTAAAGGTGAATTCTGGGAGTTGAAGTCCACAAATCTTAAATGTTGAATATTGGGAGTTGAAGTCCACAAGTCTTAAAGGTGAATTCTGGGAGTTGAAGTCCACAAGTCTTAAAGTTTGGAGACCCCTAATCTAGGGACAAGGTTTTCCAGTCTTTGACATCTGCAGACCTGTGAACGTCAACTCCCAGAGTTCTCAGGAAGAGCCAGGATGACTGAAGAATCCTGGGAACTGAAGTCCACATCCACGGAAGACGGGAAATCCAGATTTTGAAGGTCTGGACTGTACATAAAAGCAAAACCGATCCTTTGATTCAGCATCTTTTGAAAGACTAGAGGAAAAGTGCACATCGGCTTCACTTACCAGTAAGGGGTTCCCACGAAAGAATTGGCGGGAGAGGCGATAGACGCAGATCCAAAGTCCGCAAGTTTCACTTGACCCGGTTCCGTTAGGAGAATATTTCCTGCCTTAACATCCCTGCAGAAAAGAAGGCAGGTTGTCCTCAATTTAGTGACCGCACTGGAAAAAAAGGACTTTTCACAGCTACGACCTTTCCAGCTTCCCCATGATCACGTGATCAAAATTCAGACGCTTGGCAACCAGTTCGTATTTATGACGGTCGCAATGCCCCGGGGTCGTGTGTTCCCCTTTTGTGACCATCTGAGAAGCAAGGTCAGTGGGGGAAGCCAAATTCATTTAAAAACTGTGCTACTAACTGAACAACTGCAGTTGTTAAGCTAAGAGAGAAGAGTCCCTTGGTCAAGTCCACTTAACAATCCTGGCGAGGAAGGTCGTAAAAACAGGGCCAAGCTGCCTTGACGAATTCTGGCTTAGCGACGGAAATGTTGGGCTCAGCTGCGGTCATAACTCGAGGACTATCTGTTGGACTCACGTTTCTGGAGGAAGGCGAGTTGCAGAAGGCAGAGGGGAAGCAGAAAGGCACAAGGCTAAATTGTGAGAAGGAAGCTCAGCTCTTACCTGTGAATTTTATAATGTGAATGAAGATACGCCAGTCCCTGCAAGGCACCGTCAGTAATGGCAGCGATCTCTACTTCCTGCAGTGGCTTTTTATGTACTGGATTGGAAGAAACCAGATTTCAGTCCAGGGTTCCGACCCGTAGCAACTTTAAGACGTGTGGACAAGGTTGAATAAAGGCCGATTCGCTCCTTTCAATGGCACAGAAGGATTAGGAGTGGAGCTAACTAAGGATCCATCTCAAACTGGTCTAGAGTCTAGTGATTAAGGCACCAGGCTAAAAACTGGAAGGCTGTGAGTTCTAGTCCCTCCTTAGGCATGAAAGCTGGCTGGGTGGCTTTGGGCCAATCCCCAGGAGACGGTGAGTTCTACTCCTGCCTTAGCCATGAAAGCTGGGTGACTTTGGGCTGGTCAATAAGAGTTGGTGAGTTCTAGTCCTGCCTTAGCCATGGAAGCTGGCTGGGTGACTTTGGGCCACTCCCTCTTTCTCAGCCCAAGCCACTTCACAAAGTTGTTGTTGTTGTTGTGGGGAAAACAGGAGGTTTGCCACCTCAAGTTATTTATAAAAATAATAAAGGCAAGATTAAAATAATAAAATAAAACAAAATAAAAAATAATAATAATAATAAAATAAAATGAAATAAAATAAAAAATAAAATAAAATAAAATAATAAAATGAAATAAATAAAATAAAATAACAAAATAAATAAAATAATAAATTAAATTAAATAAAATGAAAAAATAAATAAAATAAAAAATAAAATAAATAAAATAAAATAATAAAATAAAATGAAACAAAATAAATAAAATAATAATAAAATAAATAAAATAAAAAATAAAATAAATATAATAAAATAAATAAAATAAAAAATAAAATAAATATAATAAAATAAATAAAATAATAAATTAAATAATAAAATGAAAAAATAACTAAAATAAAAAATGAAATAAATAAAATAAAATAATAAAATAAAAAATGAAATAAGTAAAATAAAATAATAAAATGAAAAATAATAAATAAAATAAATTAAATAATAAAATAATAAAATGAAAAAATAAATAAAATAAAACAATAAAATGAAAAAATAAATACAAGAAAAGAAATGAAATGAAATAAAATTACACACATGCATACATTCATAAATGGTCTAGGTCTGTAATCCACCAGCACTTAAAATGTAGACTGGAAAAATGGGGGTCCCGGGGGAGAAACATGTTTTTTATTTCTCCTGCCCACGGAGGAGCCCATCCTCTCCATATCTCATCCTTCTGCTTCTACCCAGGGAATGAGAGTGTGGGAAACTACCACGGAGGATTTATCCTAGTGCCACCAAAGAAAGACAGACCCTCCTTTTCCAGCTTTTAAATCAAGATGTTGCGCAAGGAAAGCATCTCGGGCCAGAGTCTCTTAGCCAAGTCTGTCAGCTCGGTTGCCAACTACGGAAATAAAACACGGCTGGGCCCGGGGTCTTGGAAATTGGCAGCAGACGATTAGAAAAGGCTGGGAAAGGTCCTCCTGATCTACCCCACGCGCTTGCCGTTCTGAGCCCCGGCCAAACCGAAGCGTGGAAAGATGGAAACCAGACCCCAGGCCATTAATTCAGACGTAGGCTGGCTGCCGGGAAGCTTTCAAGCTAGAGAAGTCAGCCAAAGGGATGTAGGACAGAAACCGTCCGTCGACTAAAGAGGAGGAGAAGATTGGGCGGTCACTGTACGGAACTGCGATGGGCCTAAGAAATGCTGCATGTCATTCCTTGAAAACCTCAGCCATATTGCCTTAAAGACACTGTGGGAGGTCAAAAGACTTACCTTCCAACAGATCTGAAGCGGATCCCAGGCAGTACTCCATCACTAGCTGTGAAAAGATAGAAAGAAATGCAGCTGTTGAGGAACGGTGGGGTCCTTGGTGCTCTCTGAGCTGGTTGCTTTTCTTGCAAGGTTTCGTTACCCAACTAGGTAACATAATCATTGCTAGAAGGGGCTGGGGTCTGTGGAGCGGAGGAGGAAGAGGAGGAGGAAGAGGGAGAAGAGGGGAGGATGAAAAGGAGGAGGACTGTGGGGTCTTTGGTGCCCTCTGAGCTGGGTGGTCTTCTTGCAGAGGTTTCATTACCCAACTAGATAGTACCATCAACGCTAGAAGGAAGTGAGGTTTGCAGAGTGGAGGAGGAGGAAGAGGAAGACTGTGAAACTGCCTCAAACTACACTTCCCAGCATCATTTGGGAATCATGGTGTTCTAAAGGACCCATGCCCTTATCAAGTGTGCGAGGCAACTTAAGGAAAGTTGTGGGTGCTTCATCAGTGGAGGCTTTTGAGCAGAGGCTGGACAGCCGTTTGTCCGGAATCACATAGACTCTCCTGCTCAATTGGAGGGGGGGGGATGAACTAGATGACCTCCAGGGTCCCTTCCAACTCTATTGTTCAGCTCTGTTCTGTTCTAAGACACAGCCCTTAACATCTCCTGTTCCTTTGGGTATGTCATTAGGGCTGCAGCTTAAAGGACAACAGCAGAAGAGGGATAATAGCTCCATTCTGGAAAGGAAAGGTTTCTCCCCCAAAGAACGAAAGCCAAACGAAAGATCTAGCATTATGTTTCCATCCGTTCTAAGAAACCATCTTGGCGCAAAACATCTAAAAAAAAAAAAAAAAAAAACCTCGCAGAGGCACGACTCACCCAGGCAGTGTGTTCTTTCAAATAGCATCCTTTATATTCTATGGTGTTCGGGTGCTTCAGCTGTTGCAAAAATCTGACTTCTTTGATAATATCCTGCCATTTCTGTTAATTAAAACAGGGGGAGGGGAGGGGAGGGTAGGAGAGAGAGGGAAAAAAAGGAAGGGAAGTGAATATCAAGATTCGCTTTATCAAGAAAATTCCGAAGATGAGAAACTGGGAAATTGCTGAGCTGAGATCAAAGTGCTTTGCTTCCTGCAGTTTTCTTCACCATGAGTTTTATGACTAGGAATGGCTGAGGAAGGACATTGTTCCTTGGGCTTACAAAAAAGATTAGGAGGAAATGTTCATTATTTCTTATCTCTTTAAGATATAAAGACCAAAGGGCACTTATCCAAGGCTAATAGTTGCCCAGGGCAATCAGAATTAGATTATGCAACACTGCAGCTCGTATTAAAAGAGAAAATAAAACGGGAGTCACCTCTAGGTGAGAAAGGTAGCACACAAATCTGTAAATAAGGAAAATAAAAAAATGCACACTACCTCAAGCAGTTACTTAAGAGTGCAGGGAGTCCTCTTACCTACAACCATTTGTTTAACCGTCATTCGAGGTTACAATGGCGCTCGGGAAAAAGCGACTCGGGACTTTGCAGCATCCTTGTGGTCCCGCGATTAAAATTGAGACGCTGGGTTTGCATTTATGACGGTGGGCCGCATCCCGGGTTGTATGATCCCTTTTTGTGAGTCAGGAGTGACTCACTTAAATGACTGTGGCAGGGAAGGTCGTAAAAGGAGGCAACATTCCTTTATAACAACTTGTGATGTTCAGCAATGGAAATTTGGAGGTCTTATGTGGTCATACGTTAAGGACCATCCATGAGGGATCTCAGGCACTTCGCTATTTTTTAGTTCAACCTGACCATCTTACGAACACGACTCTGGAGGGGCCAGGACAATCTTTGCATGTGGCCCTGAGCAAATGAAGAGAGGGACAGAAACACACTACCCCGCTCAATAGTAGTACATGTGAGAGGGATCTTGGAGTCCTAGTGGACAATTCTTTAAATATGAGCCAGCCATGTGCTGCAGGTGCCAAAAAAGCCCACACAGTCCTAGGCTGCATTAACAGAGGGATAGAATCAAGATCACGTGAAATGTTAATACCACTCTACAAGGCCTTGGTAAGGCCACACTTGGAATACGGCATCCAGTTTTGGTCACCACGATGTAAAAAAGTTGTTGAGACTCCAGAAAGAGTACAGAGAAGAGCAACAAAGATGATCAGGGGACTGGAGGCTGAAACATATAAGGAACGGCTGCTGGAATTGGGGATGTCTAGTTGAATGAAAAGAAGGGCGAGAAGTGACATGATAGCAGTCTTCCAGTATCTGAGGGCTGTCACAAAGAAGAGGGAGTCAAGCTATTCTCCAAAGCACCTGAAGGCAGGACAAGAAGCAACAGATAGAAACTAACCAAGGAGAGAAGCAACCTAGAACTAAGGACTTTCCTGGCAGTGAGAACAATTAACCAGTGGAACAACCTGCCTCCAGAAGTTGTAACTGCTCCAACAGTGGACATTTTTAAGAAGAGATTGGACAACCGTTTGTCTCAAATGGTATAGGGTTTCCTGCCTGAGCAGGGGGTTGGACTAGAACACCTCTAAGGTCCCTTCCAACTCTGTTATTCTATTTTTAATATTGGCAGTGATTTCCTAAACATTCACATACAGGTGACACATTACAATTTGTGTAAAAGCCTACACAGGTAGCAAACCACCTAGTGGACCAAAACCAAAAACAGATTTATTACAAAATATGGAATAGAGATTCAGAGTTCAGATTCTATTAGAAACATATCCCAAGGCCCCTGAGAGGTATGGATCATATCTTGCAGCGTTTGGAAATGATTCAAATTTTAACATATGTAGCTCACCAACCAATGCTGGTCCCATCCTTTTTTTTTTTTTAAATTTTAATTGCTTCCTTTTTCTACAGTAGCAGCAAATAACAACACGCATCTTTAGAGCACTGCTGAGTGGCTGCAGAACCAAAGCTTTAAGTGTGTCCTTCCTACCTCGTTAGTTTGTTTTCCGCCGTAAGACATCTTCTTGATTGCCACCACTTCGTTAGTGCGGGCGTTGGTGGCCTGGAAATGGAAGGAGGAGGGAGGGAGGGGGGGGAGAAATAAAACTGAATTAATGTTCTCATTTCTTGTAGGGTCAAGAAGTCATCAGAAGACAACCTGGATTAAGAGTTCATTCTGTTCTGGGTGAAGGTTGGTATTAAAAGCCTTCAAGAACTACAGCAATCTTGACCAAGGTATCGGCCTGCTTAAGTATTCCAATTTCTAGGTGCCAGCTCCTCAAAATTAATTTCGTCAAGGGCTGAAAAATTCCAGGAAGTTTTTTTTTCTTTGGAGGCATGCATGAAATTTTACCTTTAAATCAACTATCACTGCTGCTGATCCTCTTAGGAACAATCTCCCTTAAACATATCTATCCTTCAGAGGAGGATTCTTCAAGTTCTCCGGTTGGAGAAAGGATGCTGAAGAACTTCCTCAAAGATTGTCCTATCCCAGTTCAATTTGAAGATGGGTGGACTTCAACTCCCAGAATTCCCTAGCCAGCCAAGCAAGAGTGGTTGTGAAGTGACTTGAGCCCAATTTTACAAGCTCTGCAGTTTTTGGGATCACACAATGGCCGTTTGCAACTTTCCAACAAGCCAAGTCAACAGGGGAAGCTGGAATCTCTTAGTGACCAAGTGATTCACTTTATAACTTCGCAACCACGGTTAAAAAAAAAATTGGATGGGACTCACTTAGCAATCACATTGCTTAGCAACAGAAAGACCCAGGTCCCAATTGTGGACGTTTAAGTTAACAACTGCCTAGACCAGGGGTCTTCAAACTTGGCCCTTTTATGACCTGTGGACTTCAACTCCCAGAATTTCTCAGCCAGGAGAGAGAGAGAGAGAGAGAGAGAGAGAGAGAGAGAGAGAGAGAGAGAGAGAGGAAGGGAGGGAGGGGAAAAGATGGAGGAAGGAGAGGGAGGGAGAACGGAAAGCAAAAGCTACTTACAAAATAAACTGCCCCAAAACTCCCATGTCCAATTTCATGTAAACCCACAAACAGCTCCTGAGGATCATCTTTGTAGAAGAGCTCGGTGATGTCGGGGTCCTTTGGCACCCCTTTCCGCATGTTGGGAGAAAATTAGGACCTCGTCCCCACTTCAAAATACAAGATGGCTTCCTCCTTCATTGATGATGGGATTTCCAAGTGGTTCAGAGCCTTTGGGGGGGGGGTAGAAAAAAAAATAAGGCGGTTAAATTCAAGTACCTCTTTTTTCCAGAGTTTTCGCTTCATGTTCTTTCCGTACAGAAATTCAGAAAAAACTATTTGGGATTATTATTATTTTTTTGCCCCTTCCATTTTGTGGGAAGTTTATAAATGAAGTTTATAAAACGAAATTCTGGGTGGTTAAAAATCCAAACAGTTTAAAGCTCCTGAGGTTGAAAAATATTGTTATAATGCAAAGGAGCTGGTTTCCTCACGCTTCTCATTCCTGGACTTACAACTGTTCATTTGGTGACCGTTCCCTGGAAAAGCGTGGCCTATGACCGTTTTTCACATTTACGACCGTTGCAGCATCCCCCAGGGTCACTATTATTACTTCTTTCCTTCCTTCCTTCCTTCCTCCCTGTCTTAATTTTTATGTTGCTATCTCCCCCTACAAGGTAACTCTGGGTGGCTTATAAAACAAGTAAAAAAATAGTTAAAATATCAAAACATTAAATGGACAGTCAATTAGAAAAGAGCCCTGGAAGACTATTATATGCCTCCAAGCAGAAAAATTCTGAATTACTCACAATGGAAGAATGGTTGCTGAAGGTGATAGAAGTGGCAGGGATGTCAAAAATCCACTTGATTAGAGGAAGATCAACAACTGCATTTAACAGGGACTGGAAACCTCTTATGGACTGCTTGTGGGGGAACAAAAGAGAGAAAAATGAACCTGCAATTGATGGGTTTGGGGATTAGAAAGGATAAAATACCTCAACTCTCATCTATAAATAAATTTTAAAGCCTAGTTATTCAGTCACCATCAACAAAGGTCAATTGAGAGTTACCAGCAATAAAATCTACACTTTAACCTGAATCAAATCAGCTAACTTTGTATTCTTTTCCCTTTCTTTTCAGCTCATAGCTTATTGGATGGGATCGCTCCCCAGTTCAATATAATAGATTCGTTCCCCATTCTCCTTCAAACTTCTTAAAAAAGAACCATTTACATGAAAAAAAATTTTTTCAAATATTTATAAAGTGGTTCTCGGCTTACGACCACAACTGAGCCAAATTTTTGTTGCTAAGTGAGACAGTTAAGTGAGTTTGCCCTGCTTCATGACCCTTTTCACCACCCTGGTTAAGGGAATCCCTGCATTTATTAAGTTAGTCACACGGTTGTTAAGTGAATCCAGACCCCCCCCCCTTGACTTTGCTTGTCAGAAGGTCGCAAAAGGGGATTACGTGACCCCGGGGACACTGCGACCGTCGTAAATATGAGTCAGTTGCCAAGTGTTTGAATTTTGATCACGTGACGGTGACTGTCAGTGTAAAAAACATTCCTAAGTCACTTTTTTCACTGCCGTTGTGACTTTGAACGGTCACTAAATGAACAATTCCCTGAATTGTGTTTATCTTGTTCGACGTTACTTCAGCAAAACTGTATTTTGAAAACCTCAAATGACCTCCCCCCACACACACATCTGTGCTTCGCCCAGAGATGCAAACTACAAAATTCTGAAAGGCCGAATAATGAAAATGATATCACCCGTCCCAATGGGAGTGACTCATTTCTGCAGATGATCTGCCTTTGAAGGGGAGAAATCTGAGAAAAATCAGGGTATTTTGGAAAACACGAAGGTGGGGGGTGGGTGGGGGGGAAATGGCTACGAAATGCCTGCGGATGAAAGGAAAGATTGCGGCTGAAAAGAGACAAGCTGTGAGGTGAATCAAACTTGTTCCTCTCCGATCCCGAGGTGATTTTTCGCCCATTTTACATCCTACCAGCCAGAGAATGTTTGCAATTTTATTTATTTTTTCCTCCCCCCCCCCCCATCGGTTCAAGGGAGCTGGACTAGATGACCTCCAAGGTCCCTTCCAACTTTATTATTATTAAGGGATGCCAGACCCAGGCTAGAGACGAGACAGCGAGACCTTTTTATCTCCTTACACTGGCGGACAGAAACTTGCCAAAACTCAAGTTACTAAGCGAGAGAGTGGTTCAGTGACTTTGGCCTGCATTTTACGACCTTCCTTGCCACGGCCGTTACGCGAATCGCTGCAGATGTTAAAAGTCAGCAACACGGTTGTTCAGGCAATCTGGCTTCCCCGTGGACTTTGCTCGCCCAGAAGGGGAATCACAGGACCGTCCTAAAGATGAACCCGTTGCCAAATGCCCGAATTTGGATCATGGGAATGCTGCAACGGTCGTTAAGTATGGAAAACAGACATAGGTCCCTTTTTTTTCAGTGTTATGCAATTTCGAACGGTCACTGTAATGAGTGGTTGTAAGTTGAGGCTAACCTTCGAGCCCAGAGGTCCCCAACCTTTTGGGCACCAGGGACCGGTTCCGTGGAGAGAGGTTTTTCCACAGACCGGAGGGTGCGTGGTTTTGTGTGCTGCCTGCATCCCACAGATGGGTCTCTGCTCATTTGTGTGGACCAGTTGCTGGCATGCCGCGGCCCAGTACTGGTCCACGGCCCGAGGGTTGGGGACCCCTGTTCTAGCCTACTAGATACACCCTGAGAGATTCTAGGGTCTGGTTACCCTCCCCTCTTTCCCTTTCCTCCACCCAATTCAGCACTGCACAGTCTCTTAATCGGAGCCCCTCTTTGGGGAACCCAAAAATCTCCCCCAGGTGCACTTTTCATGACATGGAAGGATATTTTTTTTTCCATTTCATTTCTTTTTCTTTTCTTTTTTTAAAAGGAGAACAGAATTTTGGAGATGTCCTCATATACAGAATATGCATTTTATTAGTGATGAGATCACTCTGGCCTTCAGTTATCTCATTCTCCCTCTGGAGGTGTCTGCAAGCTCTCCGGTTTCCCGTCTTTCCAGGAAGGGAAGATCTTCTGAGAAGAAACCCTCCAGTCAGGACTTCTTTCAGGACAACAGTTCGTTTAGTCGCCGTTCGAAGTTACGGCAGGACTGAAAAAAAGGGACCTAAGACCATTTTTCTTTTCTGATGTATGTCTTTTCTGATGGTTATGATCATGATTGATCGCTTGCGGCTTGTATGTACACTGAAAGTCAAATTGATTGTGTGTCTAATCACACTTGGCCCACAAAGAATTCTATTCCATTCTATTCTGTCCTATTCTGTTCTTCTGTTCCATTCCGTTCCATCTTTATTCTATTCTATTCTATTCTATTCTATTCTATTCTATTCTATTCTATTCTATTCTATTCTACTCTATTCTATTCTATTCTATTCTATTCTATTCTACTCTATTCTATTCTACTCTATTCTATTCTATTCCTTTGTTATTCTATTCTCTGTTATTCTATTCTATTCCTGTTCTGTTCTATTCTATTCTCTATTCTATCCCATCCCATCCCATCCTTGCCAACTGTGACAAGGAAGGTCGTAAAATGAGGCAAAACCCATTTAACAAATGTCTTGTTTAGGGGCAGAAATCCTTGAGCTGAATCTCGCTCATAAGGCTAGCGCTGCCTGTATCCCAAATGGACTTAACCAGCAAATTCCAGAAGCGATTAAGAAAAGATGTGGATGAAGCTAAGGCTTGCTTAGCGACTGAAATTTTGGGCTCAGCTGTGGTGAGTAAGTCGAGGACTACCTGCAATAGCAGCAATTCTTCACCTACCTGGACAATTATGGCATTAACCACAGTCTATGGCTCAAATGCATTTTGGCAAAATGTGATTTTTCTTTCAGCGTTCCAGTTGGCTCCCTGTTCGCAGATTTTCTGACCTGCAGAGAAGGGGAAAGCAGCAATAATTATAATAAACAATACACGGCATACCTTCTTTTTGATCACAGGCCACTTTTGAACAATTGACTGAACTACCAATCAACCCCCTCTTGGACTTTTTCCTCTTTGCTTTTAAATGGATCCCACGACCGTGGGGACACAGCAACAGTTGTAAAGCCTCGGAATTTGGATCACGTGATGGGGGGGGATGCTGCCAAGGTCATAACTCTGGAAACAAATCTGAGTCATTTTTTCCAGTGCCCTTGTAACTCTGGACGGTCACTAACTGAACTGTTGTAAGTCAACCCTAACTCTGATCCTAACCCTAACCCTAACTCTAACTCTAACCCCAACACTAACCCTGATCCTAACCCTAATCCTAACCCCAACACTAACCCTGATCCTAACCCTAATCCTAACCCCAACACTAACCCTGATCCTAACCCTAACCCTGACCCTGACCCTGGCCCTAACCCTAACCGACATTTCTACTCACAGTCAAAGATACAGGGCAGTGGAGGTACGTTCGTTTTTCTGGCTCCTGCTAAGCTTGGCTGAGCATCCTTCGTCTTTTGTCCATGGTTTCTCGTTCCCAAAACGAGGTTCTTTCAAGAGTCTGACTGTTTGCAAAGCACCTGACAATATGACTAAGGATGAATGCAGCGAGGGGCTGCCCACACGGTTTGGCTGGATGCGGAACGTGCAGCTATGAGGCATCCACCACGTCAGATGTCTTTCCTCCAGCTTTTTTCCCCGCTTTGCATTTGCTGGGGGTGGACAGCTATCCGAACCGCATGAGTCACGCTTGTGTGTTTTTCAATCGTCCCCACCAACAGGGAGTTCAAGACAGGAGGAAGGAGAGCACAAACCTACACAAGGCAATCTATTTGGCTGCAGGTATTCTTCAACGTACAACAGTTCAATTAGTGACCTGTTCCAAATTACCGCAGCACTGAAATACTGTTGTTTTTTTTCACCTTTACGACCGTTGCCACCTCTCAAGGTCACCTGATCAAAATTCAGAGGCTTGGAAACTGACTTGTGTTTATGACAGTTGCAGCGTGCCGGGGTCACATGATTCCCCCTTTAGCGACCTTCTGACAAACAGAGTCCAGCCCCCTGCTCAAGCAGGAGAACCTATACCATCTCAGACAAGGAAGGAAGGAAGGAAGGAAGGAAGGAAGGAAGGAAGGAAGGAAGGAAGGAAGGAAGGAAGGAAGGAAGGAAGGTGTCAGAATCCAATTATATTTCATCTTTAATTATCAAACATAGAAACTCCCAATTCTGCCTTCTCTGGATTCTGCCATAAGAGGGAGAAAAGGGGGAGAGCAAAGGGGCTTTATGGCCCTTACTTCCTTCAGCACACTTCAAAGGACTGAATGTGTGTTTATTGTGGCCTCTAAGCTTTAACATATCAAAGAAGAGTAATTGCCTTTCATGTAGTTATCTGAAGTCTCCATCCAGACGGAAGAAGAAAGGGGATGGAATTGTGATACTTGAAACTATCACTGGAAGGGGGGTTGATTGGGTGGGACTACTGGGGAACCCCTTAAAACCTTGAATGGGAGAGCTTGAACCCCAAGTCCTGTCTAGCATGCCTGCAACCATTTTCTCTTAATAAAGGATTCCTGTTGGAAGAGCTATTCCAAGAGTTCTGTCTTCTTAAGATGCAAAGTGGGGTGGGTCCTTACATTAGACAGGACTTGCAAAATTAATCCACCTGGAAGGTAGACCCTTGCCGGGGGATTTTGCAAAAATTTACCATGTCAGACAACGAAGCAAGAGAGGGAGAAAACTCCCTGGAAAGAGAGCCGCTGACCCAGTTGGAACCTTGCCAGATGTTGGGATCCGAGAGGCCAGATTTCTCAGAAGAAGAAGTGGTGGAGACACAGGACCACAAGCCTCGCTGGTCGATGGGCGTTGGAAAGAAAAGCGAGTGGGGAAAGGAATCAAGAAAAGTGACCCTGAGACGGGGAACCAAGCAACCAGAATGGAAGCAGGAGATGGAGAAATCCCTGCACGCAAGTGAAGAGGGAGGAAGCTGTATGCCGTACTCAGACTGGATCCTAGAGAGAGCTATTGACCTGATGAAGAGAACTCTCAGCTCCCTAGGAGAGGAGATTCCTGAGCCCTACGCCCGCCCCAGTTCCTGGAGCCACAAAGGGAGAGACACCGAGGGGGACGTGGAACCTGCAACCCCAGGGACATTTACTGATCCAGGAGCTCCCACCCCCTACCGGACCACAGATGGAAATCTGGACGGAAGACACTACCACCCACAATGGAGGCACCGATCCATTCCAAGACGTCCACCGTTGGAGGTGAAATTCAAAGGGGAGCCAACACGCTTGGGGTTTTTCCTAACCCAAGTCCTCAGCTACATGGAGGAATATGGGCAGGACATCCCCAGCGACAAAGCCCGCATCCGGATCGTGCAATCTGCCCTGGATGGACCAGCTGCAGATTGGGTGGTGAACCTGCATGACTCCAATGCCCCAGAACTCAGTAACTTCAACCGTTTCATGTCCTCGTTGAGAAGACGATTTGAAGACCCCCTGGCTGATCGCAAAGCCCGTGAAAGAATAACAACGATGAGGCAGGGCAAACGCCCAGTGGCTGAGTATACACAAGAATTCCGAGCCATTGCCAGCAAACTGAATTGGCCAGAAGACATCCTCCTTGGCCGTTTCAAAGACGGACTAAACTATGATCTATATGATGCTTGCCTGCCCCGAGGAGACCCACATCGACTTGAGGAATGGTACGTCTTGGCAGAGGAAGCAGAGATCGACATATTGAAGAGGCATCGCCGAGGAAAACAATGGAGCCGCCCCCCGCCTGAGCTGACACACCAACCGGTGAAATCATCGGATACAGCCAAGAAGCAGATGGGGTGTTTCAAGTGCGGAAGAGAAGGGCATCGAGCTGTAGAATGCCGCTCAAAGGCCCCCCAGCACAACCCAGACAGATCCCCAATCAACAAACCCAGAGGATATTCAGCTAAGCCAAAAGAAACAGCCATGAAAATGATGGAAATTGCAGAAAACCCCACCTCTGCTCACCAAGGGGAAAGAACTCCAGCCTACACCACAGGGACGGTGGATGCCTCAGATGACAGCTCGGAAGGCGAACCCCTGGTAAGTGGACGCATCACACCCATCTTCAAAACAGTGACTATATTAATCCCCCCCATGCCCGAAGCTGTGAAGGTGAAAGCCTTAATAGACTCTGGCTGCACCCGCTGCCTCATTAGCCCAACACTAGTGGGGAATCTGGGCATCCCATCCAGGAGACTGGAACAACCAATCTCATTTGGCCAGCTAGATGGATCCATAGCAGGGGGGGTGCCAGCTACCCTAGCCACTCTGCCAATACACCTCTCCCTGGGCAACCATGAAGAGGACTTAACGTTTGTGGTGACCCCAGGTATGGAATGCCCAATGATTCTAGGGATGGAATGGTTGAAAAAATGGAACCCCTGGGTAAATTGGAGGACGACAGAAATCAAATTCCCGAAGGGGGACCCTATGGACTTAAAACCCCAAGAGAGGCTACCAGAATCAAGAATAGAAAAAGCATCCATAGGAGAGGAAAAAAGATTAACAGAAATACCAGAGGAATATAGGGACCTTGCTGAAGTCTTCAGTGAGGAGAGGGCGAATGAGCTTCCCCCCCACCGACCCACAGACTGTACCATTGAATTCAAGCCTGGGGCAAAACTCCCGAAGCCCAGATTATACTCCATGAGCCCAAAGGAGAAGGAGGAAATGGAAAGATTTATAAAAAAAAACCTGGAGAGAGGTTTCATTGAACCAGCTAAGCCTAAAGTGGCTGCCCCGGTCCTTTTTAGAGAGAAGAAGGATGGCTCTTTACGTTTATGCGTGGATTATAGGGCCCTGAACACAATCAGTGAAAGCAACCTATACCCGCTGCCCCTCATGAAAGACATGCTGTCACACCTATCGAAAGGGAAAATTTTTTCTAAACTAGACTTAAGGGAAGCTTACTATCGCGTGAGAATCAAGGAAGGGGACGAATGGAAGACTGCATTTAACTGCCCCATGGGGTGCTATCAATTCAAAGTCTTGCCATTTGGATTACAAGGGGGCCCTGCAGTCTTTATGCAATTAATCAATGACGTTCTAAGGGAGCACCTGTTTAAGGGGGTCCTTGTTTACTTGGACGACATTCTTATCTTTACCGAAACAAAAGAAGAACACGTCAAACTTGTCAGAGCGGTTTTAAAGAAGCTGCGAGCCGCTCACCTATATGCCAAACTCTCAAAATGCGAATTCCACCAGGAAAGGATAGACTACCTAGGCTATCGCATATCCCCACAGGGCATTGAAATGGACCCAGAGAAGGTCAGAGCAGTATTAGAATGGGCACCACCCCGCACAAGAAAGCAACTACAAAGTTTCCTGGGCTTTGCAAATTTTTACCGCCAATTCATCCCCTCATTTGCACAGATAGCCTTGCCCCTCACCAACTTACTAAAAACGAAGGGAACATCCTCAGTAAAACCTAGCCAGCCACTAACATGGACAATGGAGTGCCAAGCAGCGTTTGAGAGACTAAAGAGACTTTTTTCTGCCGAACCAGTACTAAGGCACCCAGATATGGACAAGCCCTTCATAATACAGGCAGATGCAAGTGATGTGGCAGTGGGGGCTGTGCTATTACAAGAAAATGATGATGCAGTATTGCAACCCTGTGCATATACATCTAAGAAACTCACGGAAACAGAACAGCGCTGGCCCGTATGGGAGAAGGAGGCTTATGGGATACGTTGGGCATTACTCACGTGGCGACAGTTCCTGGAAGGCAACAAAATCCCCTTCCAGGTATGGACTGATCACAAAAATTTAGAAGCCCTGAAAACTTCCAGGAAACTCAATCCCAAACAAGCCCGCTGGTCCCAGCATTTTCACCAATTCCAATTTAAGCTCAAACATTTACCAGGAAGAAAGAACTTCCTGGCAGATGCACTATCTCGCAT